ATGGTCTTTGCGGATCACAAACCACTAACGTATGCACTGAAAGCGAGAGCTGATAAATACTCACCTCGAGAAGTCTGACACCTTGACTATATATCACAGTTCACAAGCGATATCCGACATGTCAAAGGTCAGGACAATCAGGCGGCAGATGCTTTATCCAGACTAGAAATGAACGTGCTACAGCAGTCTACAGTAAACTTCGAGACGTTGAGAAACGAACAAGAGCAGGATCCAGAATTACAAAACCTGCTTAAAACAAACAATTCAAGTCTTAATTTAAAACAGTTCCCATCACCTGTCAATGGTATTCTAATCTACCGTCACATGACCAAGGCAATGCCGCGACCTTTCGTTCCCAAAAGTATGCGAAAGTTGATATATAATAACTTTCATTCTTTGTCTCATCCTGGCGCAAAAGCTTCAACAAAACTAATCAATGCCAGATATATATGGCCGAATTTATAGAAGGATGTACACAAATGGGTTAGAGAGTGTTCAGCATGTCAACAATCAAAGATTGATCGTCACACAAATTCACCGATAAGTGTTTTCTTGCAACCAGATGCACGTTTTGCCCATGTGCATATCGACTTGGTAGGTCCTTTACCTCGTTCAAACGGTTTTAATTATCTTTTTACATGCATAGATCGATTTACCAGATTCCCTATAGCCATCCCGATAGCGGACATCACAGCGGAAACAGTAACCAAAGTTTTCATGCAGAACTTGGCAACCATTTTTGGTACACCCATAACAATAACGACGGATAGAGGAGCGCAATTCGAATCCGAACTATTTAATAACTTGGCTAAACTTCTAGGCTCCAATAGGATACGCTGCACTGCATATCATCCTCAGGCTAATTGGATGGTAGAACGTTTTCACAGTCAGCTAAAAACCGCCCTTATATCTCACTCAAACCCCAATCAGTGGACAGAATTCCTACCGTTAGTTATGTTGGGAATACGAACATCTGTCAAAACTGACGCACAGTGTTCATCTGCGGAACTGGTTTTCGGAACAACTCTGAGACTACCAGGTGAATTTATTAACCCTAATACTAACAGTCAAAAACTTAATTTAGAGAATTACGTAGATCAACTACGGGACCATATGTCCAAACTTAAGCCAATTAATACTCGTGAACAATCGCGCGCCGTATATATTCGTTCTAAAGATAATATTTGGTTGCTTTATAACACAGAGTGTTTCCAATTCTGGAAGAGTGCTTCAATTCACAATCAAAAATTCACACTTCCAGTCAATGCAAGCAACACAATCTAAAGGAGGAACAAACCAATATGGCTGCCCCCAAGACTAGGTGTCAAGTAAAACAACATAAATGCAGTTCAGGAAGAAACATGGAAACTTGGTGAAGATGTAGGAAAAATGAAAACTATAATAAAATACAAATATTACCAACTCAAATGAAATGAAACTGCAAGTGTATACATGGAGGGATTCATACACACAAAATATTCAAAATGGATCTTACACTATGAACCCACAGAACCTACCCTCGCTATAACGAAGAATTCAGGAAGCAACCTGGGTAAGTTTTATTATTTCTTTTTCTGGGTAATCTACTATGTTTGTAGTACTTCTTATATACTTTTTTCACTTGGACTGGCTGTATATATACCATATGAACTACTTCCAAAAAGTTTTCGGTTGAAGATAAGTTTAGAAGCTTGATAAGATCGATACTGCTGTTAATAAGTGGTTGTTAGATGAAAATTTTAAGATCAAACCATGGTCAAGTACTTATTAGGGTTCTCATTATCATTTTTCAGGTTCAGAAAAACTACCCAATAAGTTAACCAGTTTTCCTACAGCATGTTTTTTAATGTGATCATATAACTCAGGTTTATGACGACAGTATTTCTTTAGACTGATTAGTAATTCAAAATACTCATAAATATTGGGACTTGCACACTTGTAAGGTTCAGGCCAATTCGTTACTTGGATGAATTGACGAAATATAGCTTCAATATATCAAGCATACCTACATCAAACCAGCAAAGGGTGTCTGAAACAAATGTATTTGATCCTCTTACTCTTCAAAATTTTCTTTTCCTTCTTAACCGTATATTCTCTTTCGTTTTGGAGAGTACTCTTATGCACATCCGGTTACATTATAACACGTGTAATCAGCAGTCACTGGAAGGCAGTAAGACCTAAAGCCACAACACACACAATGTTAACTGAGGACTTCACACCACAGGGAGAACACGAAATGGAGACCACCAGTCGTTTATTTGAAAATTAAAAGTCGCGGGTTATGTACAGAAAAGAGAGCTAGTTTACAAAACGGTCTTATGAGTCGTCCTGTAAGTTTAGTGCATGCAGGGCTTGCTCTTCTTCTTCTAAGGCATTTATTCTTGGTTGCCATGCAATGGAAAGAAAACAAAATCTATTAACAACACCATGTATGATGATTTTAATCCCGTTACAACATACCTGGTCATAAAAGGTGGTCATCATAGACTCAAGGTCATGCATCTGATCTGGTTTGATAGAGAGTTCAACTTCTGGCAATTTCAATCATTAACATATATGCATTCTAAAAGAGTATTTTTTTTGTTTTCATGCTTTTTCGTACACAAAATGTCTACAATATGTCTATTTCCTTCCAGACTATCAATCCGTTCTGGAGACCAATCACTTACGTGGAACCGAACAATTATCAATTATATTTGTGTATTTTCACTTTGTATTTTATTACTTTATGCAGGCAGTGAAGCAACACTTCAGGTTTGATTGGTTTTCACCATTACCTTTGAAGTAGATTCTTCTTTACTTTTTACTTGAGGGCGACTAAAGAGGCAGGTGAGTAAACACCTGATAGTCGGAGAGAGCATGGAAAAATCGTACCTCACAAACATGGTGTTGGTTAGCTCACTCACGGAACGTCCTCAGATATTCTTGTTCCACATTCTCACACATTTTCTCTTAAGAGTACGTAGCAAACCATCAGCGATAGTTGTAGAAGAAATAACATGCTACAAAATATGATGACAAGCTAGCAAATGTAGAGACACCCATGGACTATCGTTGATTTCTGACGGAGTTAGTCGTCATTGATTGTAAGTTAAACAGCGAGCGAATTGATTATTTTACTTTGGGCTGAGAAAACAAAACTAAGGTGTTTTTGATAGATAGGTTAACCGAACTGAAGTTTCTACAGAAGTGGATTCTAGGGAGAAGCTAATGTAACAGCTTAGGTTGGTTGGTTAAGAGTTCACCTCAAACAACTAAGCATATGTCAAAACAGTAGAGTTCAAGTATTCATTCATTCCCTTATTTTGTATAGGCGTTATATTTCCTATTATCTTATGTGGAATGTCGAGAGACTTTGTTTGTCTGAACAGGTAATCCCACGCTCCACTGTGACTGCGCGAAGATCTAAATAAAGACCTATTCACTACTAGTCTGGTTTCTTCTATCAATAGCACGAGAATTACCTACAGGCACGAAACACTTTCATGTATTTTTATACAGCTATTAACTTGTCAACTACATTGGTTGGACTATCATGTCGATTGTTGCTAAGTAATGCTTTATTCATTGCATTATAGCCCCCAAATACCTTGGTACGGCCGAGAGTGGGGAGAGTTGGCTCTACCTCTCTAAATGCTCTCACACGGCCGCGTGCATACAACCACTGCCAGGGAAGTCCTACTCACCGCCTTCTTGCGGCGGGGGTATTGTTTTCGAAATTGATAGGACGAAAAGCGAATGTCCAACGTCTTAATCTGGTTAGTGGATATGGAGAATCCACCTAGGGGAGTTGAAAAACCCTTATTCCAAACCGATGGTGCATATGGGCTCCTGTATCCTGAGGGAACAAATGGCACACGAACCAATCGTTGGGCAGTGGCTACCATGGGACCGCATCTCCTGGTGTTGCTCTACTGCCTTGTGGATCAGACTCATAGGTCGACGGCTCTGAGTGTGTCTCCCTAAGAAAACCACCTGCTTCGGTCTGAGCACCTGAGTAGTATTCCAGCCCTCACACAAATCGAATGATTTGTGGCGTATATCTATTTGGTGCTTTGTTGCACCTATGTCTAAGTGTTTAAATAATAATATCGCTTCATAAAACGAACTGATTATTGCGTCTCTCCATTCTCTTATCAAATTGAACTGCCGTTACGACAGGTCCAACATTATTGCTAGAGGCTCGACAGTAACACCTCAAAGCCTTCATAATCCTTGGATGAATACTATCAGTAGCACTGAACGTATGTGGTTTGATATGTTGAATTATTAGTAAGATACTTCCCTTCTCAATAAGTGCAACAATCCATTAACCAACTGCCTTCGCCACGATTAATTGTTGGACTTTCGCTTCCGTCGGGAGAAAACACTCTTCTGAAATATTCTGATAAAGCTTCAGGTTTTGCAACATCATTTCTTGTCTATACCAACTAATTTGTTGTAAGAAAGTTGGCGGAATTCCATCTCTTCCCAGTTCACCTCTTCATATATGAAGATAACCTTTTCGGACTATTTCCATATACCCTAACCAATTGTCTTACACATGAATGTCTAGATTTACCTATCAAAGCTTTGCAAGCATTCCTAGTCTTACAGTGAATGGATCTGTAGTGTTCAGAGTCACTTCACCTTTGCGTGGGCTAAAACTTCTATTCCAGATTGTTCTACACTTTTATCGGAATAAGTTAGCATTTCTTAGACGGAATTTTAAGACTTTTGTCAATCATGGAAATTTTCATGGAGTATTTTGATAGATTATGCTGATAAGGCCTCACGTTATCAGTCTTTTGATTAAGTGTTAGTTTCTGCTCGTGATGATTATCAGAGTACAGTTGATTTTGTACTGATACTTTTGTGTGACCTTTGGTATTTTCTGTTGTTTTCACACGAATGTCTGGATTTACTTATCAAAGCTTTGCAAGCATTCCTAGTATTACAAGGAATGGATCTGTACTGTTCAATGCCTGTAGAGTTAAACGACAGTGCTGTATGCTTCTTTCGATTTGTTTCTTCACCGCTTTATATACTCATGACGGATGGTTAGTTGGTCTGCGTTTTACTACGCATGTCATATTAAACGATATAACTAAGATAAGTGTTCCTATAAATATACGCCATGACTCTTCAACTGATAAGCTGGTTTTTTGACCACTCTGTCGTCACAGCGCACTTTTGAATAGTTAATAATTTTTCCTTCCGCACGATTTGATGAGTTTCAGCCTGATCGAACTCTTAACATGAATGACAAAACTCTGTCACCGCTATTCGCTAACGGTGGGAGAATGTTTAGACAATTTTTTCGATAGCATGGGTGATTACTAAGTCTAGCAATGTGTTCCTTGGTTTGGACGAAAGTGAGAGATTTCAAATGTATGGGGTGCTGAAGCATACCCCATTACTGTCACTAGGAGCCTACTTCTGAGTCTTTAAATTTTACGTTGGCTATCTGTGCCCAGATAATATCAGGTGAATAAAACTTCATAATATCATGAATTAGTTATCTTCACACCATAACCCAATGTACTCCAAGATAAAGTAATCAGCTAAACAGATTGAACTACGATAGATGACATCCAATATAAATGTACAAAATTCAATGGTCAGTTCTCAGATAATGATTTCACAATTCTCGTTATCATGTGACATGTAAATATAGGGGAGGATGTTTATAATACTGGCTATGTATGGTTGGGGTCGATCATGCTCGTCGTCGCACTTATATATTCTTGTCAAATTTTTGACCTGAACTGCTACAGAGTATTCTGGTGAGGTACTACGAACAAATGCTTTAACCCTTACCAAATCACCCGGGTGTCTGATCTTCGGATAAGTGTCGTTGGGTTCTATCAAATTACTGACAGACACGCTAGGGTTAAGTTCAGCCTTACTTTGGGAATTTACCGGTATATTCTGTGATGCAGAATGGATGTCTAACATAGAAAATATCAACCAAACGGGTATTGTTTGCGACTTCTTTCATTCTATTCACTGTCTCCGCATGGTCATTCATTCTCTGTAACTCAGATCAGACACGTTTGGATGACTTGGGACGGTGACGGTTTAATCCAGGTCTTAAAGTACTACTTTAGGATCGTGACCACCAATATGCAGTGTTATTCCACTCTTTGTTTGCTTTAGAAGAGATTTTCAGTTCTCATGCTACCAGTGCAACTATCAACAACTGTCCTAGAGACCAAACCAAGAAGACTGATCGCCTCCTGATCAGTAAATTATACTCAAACAACACTAGACATAAACCCAAAGAATCCTGTGTTTGTAAACAAACTACAAAGACAGACAACATAAAATCTACTTTAAGATCAACTAAAAAAGGATACCACAATAATGATCCGATGAAAATTCCAAACATTCATCGAAATAATCCATGTTAAACTAGACAAAGCATGTTTTTGTTGCAATAAATACACGAAGCAGTCAAGTCACAACCAGGACGAAATAACTGTATTTTTCTCAAACACGCTTTCACCTCAGAACTGCATACTACGTAAAAGTGTCACAACAATCAGAAAGCTTCTCAGTAGTTTGTTATTGTGTTTTAACAAAAAAGTATCTTAATTTCAGAATTTCTCAGAAAACGGTTTCTCGTCAAGCTATCTGATATTCCCACATTTCCAATCAACACACTTTTAGATGGAAAATGTCACAATATCAACTCTTACTCTGGAAGGCAGAATTATTAATTGGCTGATGCTGTCGTTGACATTCAAATGAACCCTATTTTCGTCTTCTATTCTTCTACTTATATTGATCCCGGCCTGTTAGTGAAGTTTAAATTAGTGTTATAACATCCCTTCAGGCATAGATTACTATTCAACATCGCTATCAGACTTATGTTTCGCGTCATACCGTTGGAGCAAACAGCACAGAGGAACCTTTGTTAATCGAGCGAAACCTTTTCGTGGTTGTTATCCTAAAAGGACCTTACTAGTAGCATTCATCTCATAACAGTTGTTATCGGTTTTTTGTTATTTAGTATACTATTTCATGTTGTGTTATTGTTAGAATTTATTTCCGGACAGTCACATCGGTTTTTGTGGTAATTTAATTTTTGTATAATATTAGCGAAATTGAGTATTGCCACATTTTGTATAAGTTATTTGCTGGGGTTCACTACATTTTTAAAATAAATACGCTCTGGTTCATAATAAGTTTAGTGCCATGCAAAACGCAAGTGAAGGTATGTTTCGGAGAACTAAAAAAGACCGGGAGACAAACTACGTAAAGTAAGTACAATTTATTCAATAATACAGCCTAAATACCAAAACTAATTCATCACTGAATGGCGATCAATTACATGTGTGTCAAGTCCTTCTTAGTGTAGATCGGATGCTATCGACCAAGCTGCAATGTAGCGACTAGTCTAGGTGACTTGACATTTCGTGCACTATGTTGAGATTAGGTGGTGGTTGGAGGTAGTCAACAGGAGACTTTGGACCCGTATTTCGTGTTACTTGGCACTCTTCATTAAGGCATGCCTATAATCTTGAGGGAATTGGAACTCCCTGATCGAAACCTTTGTAAATAATGTAGAAAACTAAACGAGGATCTTCATCAATTATTTTCCTGAAAAATGTTCGATAGCAATAAAAGCTGTATTGCCGCTAATATCTCAAACACGATGTCTTGATGATCCGATGTATCAGTCATATAGAGACATCCTCATCAAGGTCCCAGGTCATATGTAGGCCACTTTCTTGCAGTTCTCATCCCATCCAGTCACCGGAAAATGGAGTGACATGGAAACAACTGAGGTGAAATTTGTAAAACATGTCCTCAATGCTTAAGTCGGTGTTTCAAGTTGATAGTAACATCCGAACTATCGTCACCAGTCTTGGATACTCACCGTAACATCTAAGCATAACTAACATAGTGTTGCTACTACATGTCAACAGTCCTACGAGTGCAGCCATGATTGAGCAGAGTCCTAGAATACTGTCAACTAGAACCGCTTCCACCGTATTTTGTTTCATAGTCGAACCTACATCATAACGGGTTGATGCAAGACATACTGGTTCTTACTAAATATTGGTCTTACCAGCCACTGCAGCACTAACTTCCTTACGACAAAAGGTTCTTGACAGTTTCTAACGGTCTGCTGAAGTGACTCTTGGTACAGGCTCCTGTTAATATTGTCCATGTCTTTTACATTTATAAGTTGCAAAGTGCGTATTGCACTTGTTGATACTGATTTCCATTTCATCTCTGTATAACGTTTATCATCAAATGGTGAGATAACATTGACGGTATACTTAAGATCGAATCCCTTTCTCCAAGTAACAGACCTTGACCATCACTACCGACTCCTGCCACTGCTGCTTGAAGGATATCATCAGTGGCGAAGTTGAGTTGGTTGGGCAATCTTACCTAACTCCACTGTTGGGATAGAACAATCGGGTACGTTATATTCGCTTACTGTGAACGAAATAGTTATACTCATAACCCCTAAGATGTTTTTTATGTCTCACTCACACCCTTAGCCAATAGATGATTTCAAAATACTCCCGTACAACGAATTGAAAGCGACACTGATTTCAGTTATGCCACTATTGAATGAAAAGTTTTATTATGACTCAAACAATCTGAAGTTAAAAACTTCAACTCATTGATATAAATGGAAAATAGCACGCGTGAGACATATAAGTTTCCACTTAAACATGCAGTGTCAAAAGTTAATACTGCTAAGGACCTAGAAACAAGAACAAAACAACTGTAAGATGTTTTATGATTTTCACTAATTTTCCACTTAACATTATTTTATGACAAAACCTACGTTCAGTGTTTTCTTTTAGTTACAAATTATACAATCAGACTGATTTACTGGTTCCTACAAACTAAATGTCAAGAAATATTCACAAATCTAGGGCTATTTTCCTGACTTTTCACCATTATGTTGTCGATAAAGCAATAATCATGTATGGTTCATTAATCAAAACAAAATACTACATATGTTTAGAACCCTTATTATTAACAATATTATTATTAAGGTAAAGTAGAATAGAGATATACTTGCCTAGAATTCATTATTAATAAATTTTTCAATAGCCGTTTACATTCAAATGAATTATTGTATCATACATACACGGAAATTACAACTAATTTTATCATCTGAAATATTTGCAACCCAGTAGAACACAAAGTATTCAAGAGAACAATCGTATTTTGTTGCTTCGATTCATAAGAAACATGTATAGTATTGTAATTCAATGTTTCGTTTTTGTTATGGAAAGTAACAAAAGCATTTTGTAAACTAGTATCATCATAAAGTAATTGTACTCATTATAACACTAAATCATATCAATGAAAGTAAATATGGTTAAACTATATAAAACTAAGATGTATATTAACTTCTCTCTTGTTGATCTAATTTATTTGTAACCTGACGGATTAAAGTTTCTAAATCACCGACTTTAAAAAAATGAAAAATTCAGAAAAGAAAAAAGAATAATTTTAATGAATCAATTGTAATTTATATAAACACGAATAAAATGAGATAAAATTCTAATTTAAAAACAACTTGTAAGGTAAATTCCATTAGAAAATGGTACCCTTTGAATAAACATTGGGAATTAAAAGTCAATAAATAAATTTCATCTTAACTTGGAACTTTATACACACATTTTCACACAGAATCTAATAAAATATTAAAAGCATACTTGGTAGTGATTAACTATGACATTGAGCTTTTAATGTTTTATTGCATATCAGTGCTTTATTAAGTCAATCGGTTATGTAGGATAGAATATAACAACCCACAAAGTACAATAATCTAGATCAATGACTTTGATCCTGGAATTCATTTCGATTTGTAATACATGATAAATCCAACTGTCATTGAAGTACATTATGATTGAAACTTATCTCCAAGTTGAACAAACTCTTTTTAAAACCTACATGAACTGATCACATGTATTGACAAAACAATAATTAACTAATTATTATCCAAAGACAAGTTCATTATAAGAAGGATAAATCAATAAATTTAGTTCTCATGAAATACTATAGCTTAAGTTTTATCGTACTGTTATATATATATATATATATATATATATATATATATATATATATATATATATATATATATATATATATATATATATATATATAATAAACAAATGTTGGATTGATTTTATTTATTTTATCACAATAACCTGTATTACAACCCCTTTATTATAGTTTACAAGTTGAGTACGCACATATATATTTAGCTCACTTCAATGATAAAATGTTGCCAACGTTTCCTAATTTCAATAACAACAATTTATTAAAACTTTATGATCATTGTTCAGATTACGAATAATCTAACAAACATGGGACTTGTTTACACATTCATAATTTAAAACACATATACCATGTCGAGAGTAGGTCAAATATAAACAACCAAATTAGATGATCGCAATGCTATAATATGAATTTGGAAATGCGGATCATTGGATTCTGAAAACGTGGTTTAAAGGGTAGCTTAATGAAAAAGGTTCCACTTATTCTTCTCACTCATTTATTGCTTGTTGTTGTTTTTTTCCGTTCATTCTTTTGGTGTCTCTTCTTCAGTATTTGCATATTTGAAATGATTCTTCACACACCCTCTTATTGTGTAAAATTGAATGATTGTCATTTTAATTAATTTATTTTCTCAGGCTTTGACCGAATTCCCATATTGATATGTTCATTTAAATTTTTTCTATGCTTATTACTACCAGTGAACTTGTTTCACTGTTATCATTGACTTAAAAACTGCTTCGATTGATTCATTCCTTTTCATATGAACATGAAAAGACATTATTAAAGCTTGATAAAGGTAAAATTGAGAACAGCATTGTTTAATTATATGTATTATTCTAAAATAAAAGTCTTCTCTTCACCCTACTACTACTAACTTTCAAATCTTTAAGAATTGGTATAATTTCTTTTAAGGTTCCTAAATCAGAATAACAATGATAACAAAAATTATCGTTACAAAAAGTAGTAAACTTAACTAATATCGACCAGTATAGAGGTTTGTTGTGATTTTTGAATGTTATCGTGTTCACGAACCGACCTAAGTTAGATAATCATTGAAAACTAGAAAGCCCTGGACACAGCTCTTTTGTCCTCGAATGGGACTCTTCAGTGACGTCTTGGTTCTCAAAAGTTGATTCGGGGTGGTTTATGATCTCAGTCAACTGAAATCAACTTACCAGGATCTGATGAATTCTCCGCAGTTCGCCTTACGTTCCCTAATTTATCGATGAGAGAGGATGGCGTAAAATTCATAGAAGATCGATTTGAAGCCGATAATTTGTAGTTACTAAGACCTGAATTTGGAAATGTGTTGTCTTCCACTAGCAACTTTACGGATGAAGGATTACGACTGTGAAGTTGATGTAAAATTGGTTTGCATCCATTTTTCTGATTATCAACTAAGTGTAAACCATTATTATGATGTAACTGAGAATCTAAAATTATATCATTAAGTTCATCAGCATGTACAGAATGATTTGCCAAATGTGGGAGATTTTTTACAGCTGCTGTTTCAATAGATAACTGTTTAGCTTTTTGACAAGCTAATTCTGCTTTTTGTTCCGCTAAATAAAATCGATTCTCGGTTTCATGCAGTAGTTTTTCAGTGTCATATAACTTTGTATTCAAATCTGAAATCTGATTAGTAAGAATAGTTTTTAAATCTTCATGTGATTTTGATTCATTCTGAAGTCGTTGCTCTAACTAAAATTTAGATGATAAAAATACTATGATTAAGATGATATGATACGTATCACAGGTTTTATGAACACAAACGAAGAAAATTTAAGAAAATTATTATAAGTCTTTAGTTAACTTAGATAATGCCAGCAGTGAAGTATAGGTTGAAAATATTGTCCTATTTGAGACTGGTCTGTTAGGTGTTCCAGCATGTCAGCCATAATGTTCAGGTTGAGACTCAGACCATGGTAAACTTCGCTTAAGATGTCCAACGTGTTATAAAATGAACTACTGATATTAGATAGGTTTTACAATGAATATGAATCTGATTTATGAGGGTTTGTATTCCCCAGTGATTTGAAATTAAGATTACGATTGATCATTCTCTTTTAAAATATGAGCATTGCAAACAGTCTGACTCAATATAGTCATTTAGTCACAGGCTTTCAGTAAAACTGGAGGGTAGCTAGTAGTAGAACTTAGAAAGCGCATTTGGGACTCGTCAGCCGAATGTGCCCGTATACCAAACGAAATAAAAAAAATCAAAGCACTCTGGTCAGGATGCACTGATACCGAAAGAGACTAACTAATGGGAGTCCATAATATCAATAATCAGAAAATAAAAATCCTTTTAGAAAATTTCATTCTTAAAATTCATAATTGGATATCGCTTGAGTGGAAATAGATCAAAACCGTAGATAATTATAGTATCAAAGCATTAGTTTATCATCGTAGTCAAAAATGAAGTGGATGGATAAGGAAAGAGACCCATTGTGTCATTGAAGAATGAAAGCGATTCGACAAAGAAAATTTTGTTTTCGACGATTTCATTTACATAAGCTGTATAATCGTATTTATGGTTAATTTTATTTGCTAGTCTACAGTAAACCATAATGGTGATAAATAATTAAAAAAACTTCCAGTGGTTTTTTTTATAATGAAATTCTCATGAAAATCAGATATTGTAAGGTAGTTGTGTATTAATCAGCTGATGAAAAGTGCTGATGGGAAAATAATTGTCCACTTGATAAGTATCAAGAACAGAATAATTAGAAGTTGTCATAATGGCTAATTAATAGTTGTCGAAATAATTGGAGAGTAGTAGAAATAATAACTAAAAACGATAGATTAGGGAATAATGAGGCAATGAATATACTGTATTTGTACGCAAAGATTAGTCTTGAACCAATGGACGGCAATAGCCTCTGCTGCATATAGATTTTTCATTTCCATTCTTCTTGAGGTGACTCTTCTGAATGTATCTATGATTTTGATAAAGACTTCTGGTGAAGCGGAGTGACCACAATTAAGTAATTGCTCTAAGCTTTAGCTTTTGACTGACTTAAGTAATACTTTATAAAGTCAGCCAGTGTTCAGAGATGATTTTTGAAAGAGCTTGTTTCGTGTGTCCTATGTAACAATAGGTCACTTTCTCTATTTGAAAACACCTAGGGATACTGAGATAGTAAGAGAACGTTTTGGATTTCTGAGGTTTTCTATCAAACTTTCTGTAGAGAATGCTTGAGTCACATTTTCAAAAAGTAGATGGATAATATTTTACAAGCAGCTAGTGATATGATGAGAGCAATGTAGTGATTTGTGATTACTGCATAATCACTACAACCTCAACCGGGGTCGAACTCATAACCTTTAGCCCTTGTGGGGGAACACTTGACCAATAAAAATATATTTCAACTTTTTGTATCTTCCACCAGGTGAAATACATATTATCTATAAACATACTTGTTTATGTTTTTGTTTATCAAGTTCAATTTGTTCAAGAAGTAACTGTTTCTCCTTGGTCAATGCATCAACATTTAATTTTGTATCATCCAACAGTTTTGTTTGAGTATTAAACTTCTCAGTTAGCACTTTTAATTGGTATTTGGTTTCATTATACGCAGATATTTGATTCGTTTGATCATGATTTTGTTCCAATAACTACAAACCAATATAATCGAACACAAACGACAATGAATTTGAAGCAATAGTTCCAAATTTAGTCTATACAATGTCAAAACTTCTGAAATACATACTAACAAATTTTTTATTAAGCTTTCAGGAAAGATTTATCTACTTGGAGCAGGTTAATTAGCAAAAAGTCTTTAAAAAGGTAGCATGAAAGCTGATTTGATGAACTCCGAATTTTGATCCACCATTTCAGGTCAGCGCAGTAGAAAACGTTTTGCCTCGCAGATTGATTTTGCTGCTAAATTGCCGGAAAAACCTTATTGGACAATGTAAACTGTTGTTGAACCAGTTGCTTTAAACTAATTAACCAATTAATTTTTACAGTTATAAGTGTATGAAAAGTGTGAATTCTCTAAATTTTAATGTATCACAGTTACAAGCTAGGTCTTGTTTTCAGTATTCCATGACTCAGTGAGATTTAAGTATATCGGTTACCAATCATATTGGTTGTCGGATCTTGTGACATCATGAAATACCTAATTTTTTTATTATTGTATTACTTCAGTTTCGTTCTTGTTACTAGAAAGAAATTTGCTTCAAATCTAGGATTACAAATGAAGTTCTATCCGATGGAGTCTATAAAGAAGTTGGTGAGACGATATCAAGTAGTTGTCCAAAAATATTTAACATTGAATTTGAGTATTTCATGATAAAATTCGTAAAATTTATTATATACTTGAATAAAAGAAATAGCCACTAGAATATAACTGGAAGTCATGAATGCTATATTGAGTAATATATTAACTGAATACTGATAGTCACATCTTTTCTTTTCACTTGACTATGTATAGGATTTATATAGTTAGAAATCACCTGAGGTAAAATTGGGATGCGATCAAAATCCAACTTCTATTGCTCCCACTTAATGGAACCTATTACTTAGAGAATTCTAGCAAACACCTCAAATTCAATCAATAAATTACATATCAATTATGTAATCAAATTGAACAAGATTTTTAAGTTTTACTTACTAAATGGATGAAATTAAAAACATTTGGATAATCTTCACCTACCTTGCTCTCTAAATCCCGAATATCTAATTGTAATTGTCGATTCATTTTTTGAACTTCTAACAATTCTTGTTGAAGTCGACTGTTATGTTCTTCCAGTTTAGATTTTTGTATTTCAATTTCTTTATGTAAATTAGTTGAAAATTCTACTGTTTTATTTGAATTAGCAAGTTGTTGGTCAACTGTTGCCTGATTGATGATAATAACAACAAGTGTAATAGAATTATACAAATAGATGCACATTTTAAATTACAACTTAACAAAATGCGATTTCAACAATCAAAACAATTGTTATCCTAAATTCCATAATTATTAGCTGGATACGAAACAAAAACTTGTGACGTGACACTATATCAAGGTATTCTACTGAGCATCCAGATCTGAGAACAGAGACAATTTTAAATATCGACAAGGGGAGAATACAAACCTTCACACTTGTTGACCAAGATATTAGCTATTTGTATTCAGTGGATAACGTTTTTGACATTTGAAGCAAAGGGCAATCGGTTAGAGTCTCAACGTGAACTATGGGATGACGCTATATCTACCTGACTAGTTTAAAATAAGCCGAAACCCTTATCTTGAATTCTAATGTTAGCCAACAGCCAAATGTTCTATTATCGATCATTCGATAGATTTAAATGTTATTAGTAAGAAATCAGGTTTGAGAAATGTAAAAGTTGGGTAGGAATTCTTTAATACATTAGACCTCATATTTTCAAAAATATTTTAATTAAACACTTGTTCTTGCAATTTCTATATAGTCCTTATTAAAAGCTATCCTTCAATTCAATAATTCCTGTCATATCTTTTACCATCCATAAATCACAGTCAATTATAAATTTGTTATACAAGTTATTTTCTGTTTTTATCCGTGTTGCTTATTACTTATGCTTGAAACGAGGAACCACTACAATTCCCTCGACACGTAGTAAGAACACTGAATACTGGTACAAATAGAGATTTATTCACCCCTAAAAAACACGATGAGGACTCAGTAGCTAAGTGGACTCTAGTAGAAAAGACATTTATTCATATATTGATTGTATACTCATTGTGACCCTTAATTAGAATGAAATCACGTCTATGAAAAATACCAATAGTTATAACAAACCATATGCTGCATGTCATGCTATGTCTAGTTTACGTTAACTAAATGTACAATATCCTATCTTGAAATAACACCACACCCAAATAAATTAATGTTATATTGAATAAAATATCACACTGGAAAATAAAAACAAACACTACACTTAATAATCATCATATAGAATTAAAAGTGGAAGTAATGTTGAACAAGAAGTCACAATGAGTAAAAGAATGTAATTTTGCCTTTTTCATCTTATCATATCAATATTGAAAATGTTTAACTGACGTATCTATTGTGATTTATAAATTGTGATCAGTTTTGATAATCTAACTTCATATTTAATATCACAGTAGCTATGACTTCATCACGTAAAGGTGTTTACGACCATTTATCTAGCTTTCTGGTGTTCTGATTAAACGTTTAATGTGATGATTAGCGCTACAAAGAGATATGATTGTTGCAACTATAAAATACGTATGAACTATCTATTAATAAAAGTGAGAAAATTTTACATATACAGCTTGTTGTGATTGTGATCCTACCCTCTTAAATTAATTTAATCTCAGGAATAGTATGACAACTCATATTCCTTCTGTACTATACCATTTTTTTAAAAATACTCTCAATTATCATTTTGTATCTTCTTAACCTTCTTTAATTTCCATTATAAAATGACTTAAAAATGAATGTATAATCAGATTAATCAAAATGTTTTGCGTAAAAATATCATACTTTCCTGTTCATTTTTAGACTTTCGAAAAATTCTTATACTGATTTGGTTAACTGCGTTACTACGTCCGTAAGCCTAGAATGATACTACTTTGCTGATTGCCACATGGTAATGCAACTGCTTACCAAAATATTTTTCGTCAAAATTAAACAAAATAATACAAAACTGGTTGTTAGGAGAATGTTAAATCATCTAAACTTTTTTTTATTGGTAATAAACGTTAATTCTAACGTGTTAAACAAGTTCTCAGTAACTTTTTCCATTTGAAATTACCCTACTTAAATTATTTGCAGTTGTTTAATTGGTTAACGTTATCTATAGCATGAATGGTTTTACTTATGTACCTCAAAGCCCTAAGTAATACTATAAAAACAATGTTGTTCTGTTACAATCTGACTTCTTTGAATATCAGGTTTTATCAAAGCTCTTAACTTCTCTCCCTTAACCATTTACGTGGTTATAGTTGGGAAGTTGTGCATTAATCGTCTAGTCTATCTAGTAAGCGTATGTTTTTTTTCCCATTAGAAGAATCATCAAACAGTTCGTAGTTCAAACACAACATAAACCATCTAGACGACAGATTACTTGTCTATGAAGACATAAAGAGATTTCTTAAATACTTACTTTAAGTAATTCATATTCTTTTGATTTTTCGTCAAATAAACTAGTTTTACTTTGAATTTCATTTTCCAAAAATTTAATCAAATTTTCACGTTCATTCAATTTGATTTTTAATTGATTGAAACAAATTTCTAATTCATTATATCGTTGATCATTTAATTCCTGTGTTGTATTAGCAGATTTTAAACGTAATTCAGATTCTGCTAGTAAACTATTCAATTCAGTTATTTTTAATTCCATTTCATTAATTTTTGTAAGTTGATTATTTTGATTCATCATTGTATTTTCTAGCTGTTTGATGACATTTTGACTGAAACATAACTGATTGTTAGATTCTTCCATAAGGTTTTCATACTGATAAAAAAGTATAATAATAATGTTGATTCAGGCAATCGCTTTATTTCTGAGGCTTTTGTTAAAAGGCTTGACATTAGCTTGTATACTATAAAACACCAAACAATTCATTCACCATAGTTTCGGACAATGTAGGATTATGTTAAAATGTGGAGTCGACTGAATCACGTGCACTCAGATACTCAAAGTTCGACCGAATATTGCTTCGCTTTCCACCCCCCTAATGCGTGTTTGAGTATGCGTGAAATAAATTCACTTAATTTAACCCATATTTGCCTTCCTATTGATGTCGCCACTGAAATAGGGTTAGACTAGGCATAATATTTGGAATTAAACGAAAGATTTCTTTTCAATGTATGTACATTCATTCAATCAAATCGGAGTCAGATCTTGGGCAACCAACAAAACCTTCAAAATCAAACCATTCAGCTCGTAAAATATAACACACAAAAATTACTAATAGTGTCAAATCCAAATCCCTATTTAACAATCCAGTATCCCGTATCGCGAACCAATTTTTGAGACAATATACATATATTACAAGTATTCGACTTCGTATTTTTTGAAGCACTGATACTATATGGCAGGAGCCTCTTGAAGTTGAGCTCAAAATTCTAAGCTACCACAGAAAGTTGGCTAATTAAATTATAATTAAAGTCACTGATTTATGTTTCACATAGAACAAGCAACTCTATGCAAATATTAGCTGAATCATGCAGTCGCTGAATAAAAAGTTAAGCGATAATAGTTCACGAAGTCACTAACAACGAGTTTCTGAGATGTAAAAGGATCTTTTTCTTTAGAAGCAGGTCATTTGAATGTGACAAATCAGTGGTTAGTGATCCGTGGAAGTCAACTCGTTAGAATGTGACAAATGCAATTACTAATCACTTTCTTAAAATCTTTGTTCAATAGTGTTTTTTTTGCATTTTGATATCACAACCCTTTTAAGCGTTTTACTTTTCCAATATTATTGAAAGGTTCAATGGTGATATGACACCTTAGTAGTAGTAATCACTTCATAAAAATAAATGGAGATGTTGTTTTGATAGCTGGTTAAAATATTAGAATAAACTAGAGTAAATAAGATGAAAGGTATAAAAGGTACATATGAATGAATCAGTATTAAACAATCAACACTACACACATATAAAGAAAAACTGACAAGTTCAAATTGACCTAAAAGTGTAAATTATAGCACCAACCAATAAGGAAGTCTGATAGCTTCTATTTAACTAATAAACATAGAAACTGAATAGTACAATAATAGTTATTCATAGATAGTATAATCATGTCATATGTATTATGTAATAAGTATTTGAAAAGAAACTCACTTTATTATTCGCTTCTTGTAATTTCATTTCAATTTGTTTTAATTTTTGTCGTGTACGTTGAATTTCATTAGATTTTTCATTTAATTGTTTTTCATAATTATCACATTTATTATTTAATTCAATTTTTAATTTATCATAATTAGTTAATGCTGTAGTTTTAGCTAATTTTAATTTGTTAATTATACGTTGATTAGTATGTAATTGTTTTTGTACAATTGTATGAGTTAATTTTAAATCATTTAATTCTTTTGTCATATTTTTTAATTCTTCTACCGTTGATTCATTAATATTAGTTTTAGACATACGTAAACTATTCAATTCTGATTGATATTGTTCTATCTTCAATATAAAAGAATAATTTTTTTTACGAAAAGAAATAACATAGTCATAATGACAATTATGATATAAGAAAGATTAGTTCAGCGAAGAGTTCTCTTTTATAATACAGGAGATCTTTGTGAAGTGTTAAATTTCAATAACGGGATGCGTGGACGAATAGAATCGATAACATTTTGTGCATGACATTTAAGAGATTTCGAGTTTGAATAAATATGGGTTCTTCGAAGAATTTTCTAGTAGTATTTAGGATATTTGTGCATTTTTAACGCAATCCTTAAGAAAGGTAACCTTCGCATTCACTTACGCAAGTTTGACAGAATAAGGCAGAAACTCATTAAGTTCCTTTACTGTCGAAGGGTCCTTGGAATTTTTTAATAAACGGAATACACCAATTAAGGACTGCATTAAAATGCACAAATATCCTAAATACTACTGGAAAATTCTTCGAAGAACCCATATTTATTCAAACTCGAAATATCTTAAATGTCATTCACAAAATGTTATCGATTCTATTCGTCCACGCATTCCGTTATTGGAATTTAACATTTCACAAAGATCTCCTGTATTATAAAAGAGAACTCTTCGCTTAACTAATCTTTCTTATTTAATGTCTTAATGGCTGTATTCCGTTTATTAATAATGATATAGACAAAAAAATACATGCAACATCAATTATACCATGAATTGGGTCAATGAAACTTCCAAATTATAATGTAGGTATATTATGTGTATAGTTCATTAAAAATGAGGTGCATAGAAGTGAATTAGTTGCATATAAATATATATTAAAACATCATTTAGGTATATCCATGATAAGATACTATGATTGTTATTGAAGTTATAAATAAAAGAATATCCATTTAAAAAATTAAAAAAGACTATTCGATATCAAACCAAGTGTTTGGCGATGGATAGAATAGATGTTTACATTACGCTCGTTATCTGATAACAGACTATATAGATTAATTCAGTTGAATCATACTGATTAGAAGTGATTATCCAGTATTTACTTATGAATGAAATGGTAAAGATTTATTAGAGTAACATTTTTGTAAGCCTAGAAAAATGTGTTTCAAAATAAACTGCACGATAATATTATGTAGTCAGCTGTGATATTTGTAAGAAGTTACATAGAAGTACCATTCAGCATTACACATATCAAGGTTTAAAGCAAAATGTAAATAATAAATATATATTTATGATATCCCAAATGAGTAGAAAATTGTATTTCTGATATTTCTTGACTTAATGTAAGTCACCTTTTCAAAGAAAATATTTACACAAAAATATATTTATTATTAACTTTCTACCCAATGTTCAGTTTATTTGAAGATATCAAATCTAACCTTTGCATTGATAACTACACAATTTAAATGTTTATTATTTACTAAAACAGAACTTTCTATGTTTCGTTTCACATCGTCTAGCTCTTAATCCTTTATAATTTAGAAGTTCTTTGCCTGATTCCAATATGTTCAAATCATTAATTATATAGACGAAATATTAATCCTATTCACTTCATATATGTACCGTTCATAAATCGGATGAATTACTGAGTGAATATATAAAGTTGAAAACAAGGTAGGCATGTGAACTTGAATGGAGGATTAATTTAAATAAGACTCAACACTAATAAGCATGATATAGATACAAGCAAACATGTAAATATATTCTATCTGTCATATACACAACTCAAGGTAACATGCATAGTTGACAGAACAAGTGCAAACATCAAAATAATTCATCTGCCAAAAAGGATAAATCAAGTAGGTATGTAATACAAAAGAAGTTGCTACAATATCGGCCGGGGACAAACACCTCCTTGTCAAGTCATCTGAGTGTGTCGTAGTCAGTAAGTACGGTCATGTTATTGTTTATTTAGACACTCAATTAACGATATTTTAGAATAAATTCTATAATAAAATTAGTTGGACATTTAACTTTTACCATGTAGTTTTTCTTCCATCATGACTGAGTGCACCACAACTGGTTGGAAGAAAGTTAGGGGCACCAAACCAAAACGGGGCATCAGTGCTTGAAGCCACTAACTTCTGGTTTGAGCTATGTTGGTAGATGCAGGATACTTAGTTGAGGTTCGCGAGACTATCGTAAGCAATGGTTGGAGACTCTGGGTGACATGGCTCAGAATCGATAACAATGGCGTCGGTGTATACACTCTCTGTCTTCCTTTAAACTATGGGATTAAAATCGCTTCATATCTTTCTTTCTATGAACTAATTGTTTCTTCCTGTACTACATCCTTATACGCAACCTTTATTTTATATATTACCACTATTGAATTAACTACTTCTATGAATCGGGTGTTCATCTTGCTGTGCTAATGCGGTATGGCAACTTGGACCGATGCATATATATGCCTGGTTCTACGTTGTAGCTGACTGACGGACACTTCCGTACCATGGTGGGATGATATTTATGTCGTAGAAAACCTTACATTTTTCATGTAAGCCAGCAAAAATGATGGAGAGTGAAACATGTCCTCCATCATGGATTACGATAGTGTAAGCAATAATTCTAGCTTCATTTTGATTGGTTGCCAGGTGCTAGGTCGAAATCACGAACGAAAGTGCAGTTTATCCTTACCCACAATATCACATCTTTCATTAAAAAACCGACTAATCAGACAAAAGTAACATAGAAACTGATAAAAATGAACGTGCACCCGCGTTGTCATAACATATCTGTAAAGTGACATGAAATTAACAAGTTGAATGCTAAAAGAATAGAAGTAATGGTATCAGTTGAATTAAAAATGATAAGGCATATAGATATGATTCAAAAAGACAGAGTGAATAAACGGAATCAAAATAACTAAACAATGCGAAAATCAGAATTCAATAAAAATAATCTATCTGAGCCATTGAGACAGATTTTGGAAGATGCTACACAACGTCTCCAAACATTAGTCAAAATAATCGCACCCATCTATGTACGGCTCAGCTTAGCTTTCAGTGATTTCATGAACTGATAGTGGATCATGATTTATCCACACTCAACCTTCTCCCAGCCCATTCCTACACAAACTAAAATCCCATTTCAAAGTAGATGTTAGTTGATAATACGTATTACAAGTTCTGAATATTTCAGCCGATAACTGATTAGAATATACCAGCAAACCAGATTTCATCCGATGTTTAAACTCAAAGAAATAAGTACATTAAATTATTCGTAATCAGGTGCATTTTCTAGAAAAATGTGAAGTACATACCCATCTTCATGTAGAAAAATCGATTTCTGGAGAATTGAAAAGAAAATTAGGTAGAACCAATGTAATTTACCTGAATAAAATACGAATTACTGTTCAAAAATAAACAAAATTTATTGCCAGCTACAACCGAATCGTATAACATAATTCTAAGCAGTTATTTAAATGTTTTTTTAAATTTTGTTTATAATGATCAATTTCTTGAGATCAAGAAAAGTAACTTGTTCAACTACCGAAGCTAATAAACAATAAAACACCTTACACTATAATTACAATCATATAAACCGTAAACACATATCAGTAACTCGTATATTATGTCAGAAGTCCCAGACTAAAACAAAATAAAACACATTGTTATTCATCTTTCAAACAAAGAACTTGACAATAATACAATTTATTAATAATAAGGATAGATCATAGTTGAAATAATCCAGTTTTAATCTAAATTAAAGTAAACCACTAAATAGTAAAGCAATATAAATGATCTTGTATTGATAGAAAGTAACAAGAGAATCAATTCATAAAAAAAATAAACTTTAAACATTTACTGACACAATGATTTCAGTAAGCTGATAGGATCTTTTTTTTAAAAATCAACACTCAGAAATCTCTGTAGGACACGATAAACTTAGTTCACTTCCTAGACATTCAATTATCACTAACCATTTACAATTATTTTATAATATCAATAATAGAGAATTTCTCAATATTCGTTTCAATCACTCTATCTACATTAATTATACTTTTTTCATAATAATTAAATATTAAAACAGAAAGGTTGTTGTGACTGTGGACTGCAGATTAGACGGCAGCGAATTATCGATCGAACCAAAATCGCGTAAACATGTAAGAACGGCATAGAGTTCTGATTGGTCTCGCTCCCCTGTCTAGCTCAGCCAGTTGAGTTCAGAACGCAAGTCTCAGCCTCTGAGATATGAATCACTATATTTCAAGCATACTGAGTTCATATACCAATCAAACCGACCACAACGTACCAATAAAATATGAAACAACATTTGTACAAGAATTAGCCAGATGTGGCTGTGAATGAGGGAGGTAGCGATTAATAGACAGGGAATAATTCATGAATGGTAAATCGTATAATAATAGTTCATAGGTCAAAATAAAGCTTATAACATGGATATGAACAGTTTAGCTATATAACAAATATACGATAAAAATATACTCATAATATTGGTCTATAAATGAATCCCAAAAATTACCATTCATTATTCTTATCGGGATACAACAAAGGTAATAAGATTAGTTTAAACAAATAATATATAATTATGACAATCATTCTTACCTGGTTTTCTGATTTTTCTAATAATTTTGATTTAATGTTTATTTGTTCATTTGCTTCTGAAATTTGCTCTTTCAATAAATTTAATTCATTAACAAAATTATCATTTTGTTTGTTTAAATTTAATTCTGTATGTTCAATAGTTTCATTGGCTTTGTTTAATTCTTGTTGTAATTGTTCATTTTTACTATTTGATTCCTAGATAAATTACTTAAATTAATCAACTACTGATATGACTGCAATAAATAACACCTAATAAAAATAATTTCAAAATAAAATATTTGATGAACATATGCCATTCAGTTTCATGGATCAGTTGACGTTAGATATTAACAATATTGGATACCAACTCAGTGGTCAAGAGCTTAAGCGTTCGCGCGCGAGACTGATAGGTTCTAGGTTCACATCTTGCGAGGCGGGATCGTGGATGCGCACGAAACGGCAATCAAGTGCTTCCAGGTTTTCTATAGTGGTCTAGCTTCAGTTGACTCATGATCTCAACTATTGAAATAAGAACATATATTACTCATTTTAAGTGGCTATTATTATTTCACAACTTTTGTGAAAACATTTATAACCTGAGAAAAGTATGCTGTCGAACGTGACAATGTCTTTTTTCATAAGTGCACTTGTCAATAAGTTAAAAGTATTTCGTACAAAAAATTATAAGTCACGTTAGTATTAATGTAGTTTTACTTGAAGATTTGACGCTTTTATACGTACACTTATTGAATACTTTCATTATATGTGTTATAACTTGTGACCGTGTGCCCTATTAATATGTAACGTAATGATATTGCCAATTAAAGAAGTGACGTATAGGCCGGACCGCATAAACCCGTACGAGCAGTCTACAGTCCTTGTCGATCCTTCTTCCTGCCTAGCCCTGCCTGCTGAGTCCAGAACACCAATATCAGCCTCCGTGATACTGGGTTTATACACAAACCAAACAGATCACATCGTACCATAAAATAGAAAACAACATTTGCACGAGATCTAGCCAAAAGTGGCTGTTAATGTGTAATGTAATTAATAAACTGGGCATTAGTCAAGAACTGTAAGTCGTATAATGACAGCCTATAATTCAAAATAAAGCTCATAATAAGAGGAACATGAATATGCATAGTTTAGTTAATTAACAATTTATTTCACTGGATTATACTCTTTGAATAACATCTCCAAACTCTAATCTTCCCGATTACTGCTTATACTCTTACTATCTCTACCACTACGGGATTTGAATCGACAACTGCATCTCTGTGCTAATGTGGTGTGGCAACTCGGACTGATGTACGTACGTACGAAGTTCTACGTTGTTACTGACTGACTGACTAACAATTATACAATAAAAATATATGTATCGTATTGGTCCATAAATAGTTCTCAAAAGTTACCATTCATAATTCTCGTCGAGATATAACCACATGACAGCAGTCAGTATAATTATTTCAATTTTAAATGTTATTACCAAAAAATAATGCGAGATTCTATGAGTCAATTGATCAGTTCTAACAGTTCAACTTATACCAGTTTTGTGCTACCTAGCGATCTATGAGGCAAGAACACCAACAGTTAAAAATATGCTTGCTATAAAGAAAGAAAGATTGATATTTAACAAAAGATTTTTACCATTTCTACAATAAAAATAACATTATTATATGACCCCATTGTACGTATGTTTTACAAAATAAGACGTAATATAACCAAAAAGAACCAAATCAGGTTATTGAAAGAAATATGGATTCCAATTTCATGATGGAATTTTGGCGCGTGAAATCAACATTTCCAATTATGAAACCAAAATACATAATTTTCTGGGTGATGTGAAGAAAGAAACAAAGAAGCAATGATGAACAACGGAAGCTACTTTTGGGAACAGGGTCTAACTTAATTCAAAGTCGGTAAATTACAAATATTTAGTTTTGTACCTGTTTTATCATGGAAGTTATAAGTCTTTGTTTGGTCCATGAATCACGACCTTACTCTTTTTTATTCCAAAATTATTGTGGTTTAAACGCAACCTTTTTCTACGCCAATTTTTACTCTAATGCTCTAGTTTACAAATAATCACATTTTTCTTATTCTTTGTGCTTTTTGGTCTTGTTAGTTATATATTGCTTCATGTCCTTTTTCGAGTTAATCTGAATCATGATTAAATCAAGTAACAATCCAGCCGATTCAAACTCTCTCCCACGTTTGCTAACCTATCAGGTGATAGAATATTTTTCATCTCTCTGCCTTCAGAGCCGTTCAGTCACAACCAAACTCCTGCATTGCTAGCTTCAAAGTTGTGCTAAATAGTCTATTGAGTTAAAAGCTTAAACTAGATTGATAAAAATTCTTTATAATATATCGATGGGTAGACGGATCAAGTAGTTAACACTGGGTATCTCTGAGGAGATATAGTTAATGAAATAGGTGATAATAGAAGGAATAACAGATAGGATGACATAATAATAAGACTTACTAACCATGAGTTCGGACTCCAAATGTTTACATTTTTCTATTAAAGATTTTAATTCTGGTTGTAAATGTTGCTCAATGCATTGTTTTAATTCTAACGCTGTGGCTACACCTTCTTCACCAGTTGACAAAGCAGCTAATAAACGTGTTGATGCATTGGATGCATCAAAAGCAGCTTGTTTTTGTAAATGTTCAATTAATAAAACATGTTCTTTCATATCATTCTTTGTTGAATTTAATTCTTTTTCTAAATAATTACGTTCATCTAGAATAGTTTGAATTAATTCATTTGCTTTTTGTGAATCTAGATCACGATTATTCTATATGAAAGAAAAATATGATAAAAGTTGAAAATGATTAAATAAAAAGAACAAATTAAACAATTAATGATTATTTAGATGTATTTTTAATAAAAGAAAGTGATTATACTTTTTCTAGTTTAGTGATAAAAACTAAAGTTAGTCATTCTTTTGAAGTGCATGTGAATGCTGAGTGAAATCCTTCTATGTTGTTATTGATTCATCGTGGACATTAACTCTGGAAGCAGATCCATCTAGCTGACAAATCCTAAATATAACGAAACGCCGTTCATGAACTCCATTCCATGTCACAGTTCAATTTTACTAATGAAAATTTAACTATATATATACACTGAATATTAACACATTAGTTTGGTTACTAGTTGAGACAACGCAATATATTCAATAACTCTACTCTGATAGATAAGTAGATAAATAGTTTCTCGCTTAGTATTAAAAATCTTTTGTAAGGTTGTTATATCTAAATATTTTCAAACTTATAACAAAACTAAACGACTAGCTCTGTCAATGTGCAAATATGTTCAAGTATTTTTTTTACAAGGTATTAGTTGTTTTACAACAAACGTGACTTATTGTGGATCAGTTCTTCGACTTTAGAAGAATAATTGACCTTAGCTTATGAATGTAGTTTTTAAAAGAATTAATTTGGGTAATATTTGAAGGCACTAGGTATTCATATATATAAGAAAACATCTAATGTTTCATCAGTTGGATCGCAAAACATATTCGAAGACTTTATACATCGTTCATTTTAAAAATGTTGATATGTGAGTTGTATATGGTTCGGCCAACACGAATAAGTTAATAACAATATAACTAATAAATAATTCTTTGAGGCAATTCATAGATAATCGGTATAATAAAATTGATTTTCAAACCAATTAATATCGTTTGAAGGTAGATCACAATATCAAATGTGGTATTGTCTGAACCGCTATGGAAATTAAGAAACACTGAACGGTTGTGTGGTTTCACTCCATGATACTTATGTAGTGGACACGTGAGTAAATTTGTTCTTGAATAAATTAAATCCAACTATCATAATATTGGTGACTAATTTGATAATGTTAGTACGAAAATCCTTTAATCAAAACATTCGTTATTTTTGGTAATCATGAAAATTTAAGAAACCTAGAAATAAATATAATACACTTGTAGAAAAGCTGATTTACTTGTTCAGTATCGTTGCATTCTTTTTAAAATTTTGTTCCATATGATTAACCTTTGTATGATACATAAAATTTCCCACTATCAGACTGAGAAGCATTGCTTTTTCAATAAGCTAATAACACAGTCTGTATTCGAAACATTAAACAATGATATGGAAATTCTGGGAACAAATGTAAATAATATTACCTGAGTTGTCAGAAAGGAGTTTAACTTAACGTATTAATTATCGAGAACCACATGCTAAATACACTCGAGAAGGATGATAAACAGCAAGCATAATAGTAATTAGTCAAGAAATTTACATCTAAATTAATCTTTTTTTATGAAACTGTAGTTAATTTACTTTTTCCTCCTGATAAGATCGTTTCCATTTTGAAGCTTCACTTTGAATAGCAAGTAAACGACGTTTGAGTTTTGTCACTGTTGTATCATTCACTTTTGCTTGTTCTTCAGCACGAACTTTAATAGTAGTTAATTCCTTTTCCAATTGTGTATTACGTGTACATAAATTATCAGCTCGCTGATGTGCAGCAACTAATGCATTTTCAGCTGATGAACGTCTTTCAGACGCAGTTCGTACAGCTTTTTCATTTTGAGTTAAATTAGCATTTGCTAAGCAAAAAAATTTGGAATGGTCATGAGTTTTTTTGGAGTACAGTAATAAATGTAAAAATTCCAAGAAAGTAAATATAAGGATTTTCAAATGGTAAACAATGACTCATAGAAACCTTAAATAGGAATTGTAATCCTCCAGTTATACTCGTCTGAGTTCTTCATCAGTTGAACATGACCTGGATAGCTTAGTAACAATATTCACTGATAAGTATAGCCTTGAGTGCCGGACAGAGAACCAGTTTTCTGGATGGTGTAGTTCTACCTTATACATAAGTATCAGAAATCTTATTAGTCTAAGTTCAGATCTATCTGTTGATTGACTTCAAACAATAAAAACGAATTAAACGTCAAATATATTTTGTTAGAATGTTAGTGGTTAACACTTGCATCGAAGACATACTTCTGATTCTATTAAAACGTCGTAACCTAAATATATCTATAAATTATAGAGAATAACGTCTTCATCACGATTTTGTAATCACCGTATTGACTCTGTGCCATAATCTAACAACACAACGATAAAAATGATGGGGATTCATTTTTTTTGTTTTAAAACCACAGTTGTTATTAAAAATGAAAGTTACTATGACACAGTTTGAGTCTTAACACCCACAAATAGAAGCTATTTAACTTGCTAACGTTTCACGTAAGATAAAAAAGAAATTAAATTCACATTCAAGTGCAGTGTTAAGGAATACTGTGAGTCGAAAAAAGCAGTATTCTTCAAAAAATAATCTCAGTTGGTGGGAATGAAAACTAGGAAACACTAAAAATCAGTTTTATCCTAGTATGGGGCATGTAAGTGGTGTACTTCAACGACCCTACTGTGGATTAATCTCAGGACGTCAGGGTCTCGCAGTGAACGTTTCATCATTAGAACCATAGAATGGTTTTGTTCTCTGAGCTAAATGGTTTGGTCTACCTGAAGTTTGTGCTGATGATGTTGTTCAGAAGAACGATGGAAGCCTCACGACCAAACCATCCAGCCCAGAGAACAAAACTTCATCAAAACCATCCACTTGAGGTAAAAAAACTTCGCCATCGTCCATTAGAATGGGATAACTTTAACCACAATTAATAGGAGATATAGCATAAAAACCGTTAAGTGTCGTTGATGGAAATTGTTTCCCTTCCAACATAAGTAAATTCCAACAACAACTTAGAATAATAATCTCAGGAACACCTATAAGTTGTCAGTAAGCCAATCGTTGTAATATAGTTGAATGGGTTTTGTGGCTATAAGAATAATGTTCAGGTAATATATGTTATAGTTAGCTTTGGTAGATAATTACCTTGTTCAGTTTTACATCTTAATTCGTTGTATTGTTTTGCCAAGTTCTCCGCACGAGCTGAAGTTTTTTGGACAGTTAACTTGGACTTAGCCAACTCATTGGATAAGTCACAATTAATCTGTTGAAGATGAGCAATGCGACGCATTGAGTCTTTTAATTCGTTCTTACCATTCGCAATTTCTTTATTTAACTTCTGAAAAATCAAACGATCATGTTAATGAACAATAAGACGTTCAAAAGCCAAAAATAAAATAAAATATGCTTTAAATTGATTGAGTTGGACATGAACTGATCGATAATAAAATAAATCCAGGCGTGAAATACTATCAGTTGCTAAACAAAATCACAATAAACTAATCAGCATGGTTTAACTGTTTCATCTCTCAATCCCTTCTGCTTCTCAACAATAAGCCTAGAACACCTTAAACAACCATAAAAATAAATACTTAATTTAAACGTCGTTAGTAGATAGCTGTCTTAGATAAATTTATTTAGTTATAAAGTAACCAAGGAGTTGACTTTATGCATTACGGTTAAAAAATGTGCTGGATTGGTTGACAATTTACCATTCACTTTTAAATTATTATTGTAAAATTTGACTGTTGTGTATCAATTGTCTAAGCGATACATAGAAATGATGGCGTAAGTTTTCAATCATCAAAATGCCATTGTTAAGTATAGTTAAGAAAGCAATAAACTTGTCAGACTTATCCGATTATTGTCCAAACATATTATTTATGAGTAATCTATATTTTAATGAAAGTTTTCCGTTTCTATTTTTTACTTATTAGCCTAGAGCTTGTTTTTCGGTTAGTGATAAGCCATCTGGAAAGAAAATGAAAACCTAAAATTTGAAAAATATAGTTCAGAGAAGAAAACAGAAACAAAGTCGTTCTCCTGATCTAATAATCTTGTCTAACATCTCAGAGCAAATTATATTTGTTTTGTCGTATAGAACTGATCATTTTTTCTTATATGCCTATTGCTAACTATTCACTGATTATATTGCGTTGAATATCAGTTTTTAACCTTGACTTCAAGAGTATTTTTATACAATCATTAACCAAGGACTTGTTTTTACAGAGATATCTAGGAATTTTATACACGGATGAATTTTAAACGATAATACATCGAGATCTAAACCCACTTGAATTGTGAATTCCGATGTTTTAAATTTTGCAAACAAATTTTCACGGTTTTTCTCTGATTGTCTTAATATGTTATTCAGTTCTGTGATTCGACCTTCGTAGGTGTCTTGAATGGAACATATCTTTAAATAAAATTTAAAAAATGGAAATGAAGTATAGGTGATGTTCGACTGAAGAAAATCCGATATGATGCCAACCATTATTGATATAATGAAGATACTGTCATTTTTATATCTAGAAAAATGATAATTCCAAGTAAAGAGAAAGCTATACTCAAGTAGGATGTAGACTAGTAATCTCAGGCTCATTGAGTCAGTATTTTGTATTCTAAAACACCGAATTCTTCAAAAAAATACAACAATGATGACTTTTTAGACTGTAAAAATGAGTTTTGTATTGTAAATATAAAAGCAAGTTCTCCTCTTTTTATTCTAGTGCACACTCAGAATAATCCACTATAGTTTAAAGATTAGTAAGCATATAACACGTATATTTCAAGTTGTATTTTTTAAAAATTTTCAAGATACAACCAAAGATACATAGAAGGCATCCACGTGAGCACTTAGTTCACTGATTGACGTAGAAACACTATGGGTAATTGATAGTAAAACGCTAATAATGACTAAAGAGTTTTGGAAATCTTCGACCTTTTCAACAGAATAAAGTTTGCTTTTCAAAATGTTTAATTTTCGTTACAACAATCACTTTGGAAATATCCTTTTGATGGTTTCTAAATCAAACAGGACTCATAGTATATTTAAAACGTTATGAATGAAGCTAGTTAGTTAATACATCTGGATTACATCAACTAAAAACGTTTATTTAACTTAAATTTCCACATTATCATTTCCTTTATGCTATAATAAGTCAGACAAGTAGTGAATTGGACATCAACATTATTGACATTTTTCCCTTTGTATGGTTCCTAACAAAAAAAGAATACAGATATACTAGATTATATAAACATAAACAAAATCGGAAAGCTTTGAAATACCATACTCAGAATATGTACTATGCGACGAAAACTTTGTACGGGGCTAACTAACCTGAAACATATGGCATTAGGCCTATTACTGATCTGCTGACGTCTATAATAATTATGTCTTGAAAAGGTTTTACTTCATTTATTTATTCTACGCACATACGAGTAGTGAATCAAGTCAATATTGTTATAAATACCACGTTAAAGAACAACTAAATAACATACCTTGTTTTCAAGCTCTTTTTTGTCTATTATAAAGCGTTCTCTTAGTTTGGCTATGCTGGAACGTAATATTTTACTGGCTTTCTGAGCCTCTTCTGTTTCTTCATTTCTTAAGGAAATAAGTTTGTTCATTTGATATTCTGCTACTTCCACACGTTTAAAAAGTGAATTTTTTAAATCCTGAAGATATGCTTCTCTTGACTCAAGTTCCTGTAACAGCATTTCACAATTCGATTCAGCACTGAGAGGAATTTATAATATATACCAGAGAAGTAAATAGATATATTCCTACCTCATGAAAATTGTTTGATAAAAGGACAGAGTTTTAAGTTTGATACTATTATATAGGTTAAAAGGAATAAATTATTTCCTTATGCTTAGGTAGGATTAGTGTAATTAAATGAACAGAATGATGAAAAGATTGAAATGATCAAACCCCGGTTACGTAACTGTACCTTGCTAACTGTCAGACAAAATTAGATTCTAAGTTTACATTTCACATGGTTAATAAATTGAGATTGATAACTAAGATACCTATATCAGTATTTACATCGATTGACTAGTAACTACTAATTCGTATTATAACTTAATTTTGCTACACACTAAATAATCCTATCTAATCAAAATAAGGCTAATTAAAGCTGACTTTACTATATTTTATTGATATATATTATTTAATCAATCTAATTACAAAATATTCAGTTACTAAACTGAAGCTTTGTGGTACAGTTTTACCTGGTAAAAGGACTTTTAATAGTAAGTACGGAGTCAGGTAAGCTTATGTAAACTCTAATATCAAGCTAGACGAATTATCAAAACTTAGTATCAACTGAAGTTAATTTCACATTCAGACAGTGTATCACTTTTTTCCTAACAATTAAAATACTGTTTAAATGTAACCCACTATGAAGTTTTTCATTGGTTTTTTAAGGCATTGCCTACGGAATTTAAGTATCAGCTCACTAAAATCAGAAGTACCTTTAGGTGTCACCAATGTCTACCAATACAACAAGATTTTAATCATTGTCCATAAATTGTCAACAAAACTGAGAATAATAAAAGCTTTTAAAAATCTTTTGAATTTGTAATCAATTTGTAAACAAGCTTTAAACATGAAATTCATTAAACTTTCTAGCGTTTAACGAAAAAATAAAAGATTATAAGTAAAAAGATGCACCTCAAGAAGATATCATCTAGAAGGATTCCGAGTGGCTATGTTTAGTCCAGAATGGTTGTTTAAGAACCTTTAACGTCTGATGTAAAGTAAACCATTTGTTAGTTAAAGTTACAGCATTTTGCAACATTACAAAATGAAAAATCCCTAAAAACAATTCGATGCCGTGTTTTAACAAATACTAGATAAAAGATTATTTGGAAAATTATAAGTATACACATAACAAATCAAATTTAACAAAGGATTCGTGTGTGTGTTTATTTATTCGCAGAACAGATTCATTTCCCTGAAAGTATCCATGTTTACTAATGGTTGAACTCAAGCGTCACTGAAGAACGCGTAAGAAAGGATTCACGTGGCCTATAATAATGCGAGGATAGTACATACCGATACTTTTACTCTAAGCTAAACAATGTCAAATACTGAATTAAAAACACGGAATTTTTTATTATTATCAAATACACTGTCAGAAAAACGTACTCGGTATTAGAACTTTCGAAATTTCATCTTGTTACAGATATTACTGTTCTGTTAGGTTTTATTTTTATCTCTGTATGAAGACCTTGAGGAGACGAAATAGTAAATTATGGGCAAAGCCTATCGACAAACTATTCTCACTATGTGACATCCGACAAACAAGCAAATATACAAACCTATCCAAACAATTTCAAATGTTTCCTCGATCCACTGCCACTTTTTAAACTCTGTTAAAAAGTAAATAAAAACTTTCCTATCCTTTTATCAGTGAACTAACATACATGGCTAAGACGCAAATGCTACTTTACGCTGAAGTCAAAACACAACTGGAAGTAACAGATAGTGGGTGTAATTTCTCTCAAGAGTGACTTAGGTTTCGTGGTTAACTGACATACAATGTCATTCATACCAACCAATCCAGCCCAGTTTGCTTCTAAAGGGATCAGATGCCCGAATGGCCTAAACTGCTGAAGTGATTAGCGTACTTGTCATTTTCCTAATTCGCAATGATGTAGATGACACAGTGAGTCAACCTCCTGCCACTTAATGGCAGTTAAAAGTTTTTTTAGATATGAGGGTTAAGAAGAACTTTCAAACACAGAATTTCGCTCACCACGGTTTGGTGAAAAGGCTAAAAGTGGAAACATGTTTATGGTGCAGGCCACAGTTTAATAGATCACTTGAATCCCTTTAAGAGAGTACAGAGAGCCAATATCCATACAAAGTCGATAAAGTTTGGCTTACCATAAAATAGGTGCCTTAAAACGTGAAACTAGTAGACTAAATAATGGTATACTGGATACCAAGTGATTTTAAACCTGAAGTATCTTTTTCTCCCTAACTTGGTAAGCAAAACTGATAAGTAACTAAAAGCAAGTATAGGATCAAAAGAAAGAGATTTGCCATAATATACAAGATTTCTCAGTGTGCAATCAAGTCTTGTGTTTAACTGTCGGAAGAAATGGTGTTAAAACCCAAGATTAACTTACCGAAAAGGACTAAGCTCAGAGGCTCAATAAAAACGAGGCTACAAAATTCTTCACCACCTTGCTATCAAAAAGTAAATCTGAATCATATATATTACATGACAGCAATTATCAAAGCCGAATGCTTATATTTTTATCAATATATACTGGTCTTAAATTTCTATACCTACACAAAGAAACAACTTGGAAACAGAACCCAGCTCTAACAGAACTTTGTGCAAAAGTTTAACATTATCTCCGAAGAAAAAAATACGACATAGAAATAGCTAGATTTCTGTGGATGGACAACTTCGTTTAAACTCCTACACAATCTGTTATGCTCGCCAAAATCAATCTTCGACATAAAGGAATGCACAAATGTATCAAAGAAACAATAAAACTGTGCACATACGCATATCGTCTTTCTTTTTCTATTATCATCGTAGCCAAATCACCATTTAAATCAAGACACTTAGCATTGACGGGGTGCGAGTAATTTATCTGTTCTTCCTTAGCATTTTTCAAGACCACACTCGGGTCATGAAAATTGAATTGCATCATATTTTCTGGTTTAATTTCATATATCCGGACAACAGAACAACAGCACGAACAACTTGTTTACACTTTCGAATGAGGTCATTTCTATGCACTAATTCTAACAAATAGCTTAAATAGTCAGTTTAAACGTCATAATTTCATGAACAAAAATAGAAAGTTATTCTTGTTTTAAGTTTTTCGGACTGACCATATAATCAGTGCAAAGATGGGGAATTATCTCTGTACTATAGCCAAATAACTATTTAAAAAGGACAGTGGTATTTTTCCTCGCTGAGTAAATTTCATTGTTTTGATCGTTTATTACGTATCAAGACTACTGTTTTTCACTTTAATTGAAGTTATTTCAGTTAAAGTATTCGACTAAAGTATCGTTTTTACTGTTTTGTCGTTGGTACTCTTTAGTACCACTTTTTCAACTGTATCTGTTAGTACTTTTGGTCCTAGCAATCTACAGCTCTTCACTTTTTTTGGTCATTGATAATTTTTTTTGTTTCTGGGTATCATCGCATATTGAAAAAACCCCTCCTAAATGACCGGACAGTGTAAAAAAAGCAGTTGCCAACGTCCGGGTTGTCGTTATCCTGTTGAAAGCGGCATGCAGTGCGACGAGTGCAAAGGCTGGTACCACGAAGTTTGCACGAACTTAACGCCTGCTGCTTTCAAACGGTTCAGTAAGAAGGGTTGTGTGTGGCTTTGTCAACAGTGCTGCTCGGATGCAAACAGCTTGTTAACCGAGGCTATCTCACTGGTTGATGCTGCAAAGAAGTGTTTCAACAAGCATAGTCGGAACGCGTCAAACAGCGCTCGATCTGTTGACACGCAAATCAATGTGAAGGAAACTAAGGTGAGTCCGGTGATAGATGACTCACGCCCGTCGAAGAAGGAAAAGCAGTCTCCAAAGGGGTCTGCCTTAAAAAAAGCTCAAGAAAAGTAGGGTCTTCTGTTCCCCGTCTCCCAGATGGGATCCAACAGGAAACACCTAGGAGCCGCAATCGCAAGGCTCGATCGGTTTCAAATGGTCAACATAACACGACCCCTCAGGTCGTCGACAACCCCCCAAAACCCAACACTAGTTTTGACGCAACTGCTATTGCTTCTACCAGCAGCGTTAACGAATGGGTAAAGGTTGTAAGGAAGAAAAGTATTGATATAAAAGGGAAACCTGCCCCCGTAAAACTGGTTGAAAAATCGAAAGCTGATCATAGCGACAGATCAGCTATTTTTCATAGAATTAAGGAGAGCGATAGCTCTGAACCTAAAGCTCGTTTTGAGCATGATATTGTACTGATTAGGCAGTTGCTTAATCAACTCATGCCTCAGAATATGACTGGGGTCACCTTGCTAAAGGTGTATAGACTAGGGAGTCTAACGGACTCGAAACCAAATCATTCCAGACTGCTTAAAGTAGTATTCGGCTCTTCAAACGAACGTGACCTAATTTTACAAAATGGACACAAATTAAAGGGCTCGGGAGTCTTTATCCGAAAGGACCTACCGTTGGCAGACCGTGTTAAAAGACGGGAAGCCGAGAAAGAACTACAACATAGGTTAGACGCTGGCGAAAAGGACCTGAAAATTGTAAATTTTCGGGTTGTAAGACTTCGACAGAGAATGATGCCGAAGCCACTATGGGTGAAGCACGAAGGCACCTAAACAGGCTTCGGATCTGTTACACCAATGCACGAAGCTTACTTAATAAGCGATCGGAACTAGGTGTACAGATTGACTCTATAAAGCCAGATATAATCGCGGTAACAGAAACCTGGCTGACACAGGCTATAGTTAGTATAGAACTTGATTTCGAGGGCTTTACGTTAGTAAGGGCCGACAGGACACAAAAGCGCAAAGGAGGGGGAGTAGCTCTATTCATTAGGAATGCTATCCCATTTACCATTATCGATAGTGTATCCCATGAGAGTGGGACGTGTGAATTAGTTAGTCTTCGCTTAAAATGCAAGGGACAAGAGCTGCTGATTGGTTTGGTCTATCGCAGTCCAAGCTGTGAGGCAAATGAGATCCTGTTTAGCAGTCTCAATACTTGGTCCCAAAGTGGTCGATGTCTAATCCTAGGGGACTTTAATGCGCCAATGGTAGACTGGGAAAATCTGCGAACTGAATCGTCAGAAAATTCCTTCGAGCAGGAACTAGTTGATGCGGTTATCACATGTGCCCTAGTGCAACATGTGAAAGAAGCGACTAGGTACGACCCGGACACTGAATCATCCTTATTAGATCTTATACTGACTCACTATGAGGATGATGTTGCGAACCTCCACCATATGCCACCCTTAGGTAAAAGTGATCACGCAGTTTTAACTTTCGACTTCCATATAACTGCCAGTCATGAGGACGCGTCAGTCCAGTCCAGACCCAACGTCTGGAAAGCAAACATACCAGACATCATGCACTCAGCGTCGTTAATAGATTGGACAATAGACCCAGAGTCCTCCATTGAAACGGCCTGGGACACATTTCGAAAATCATACTTAAAAGTTACCACACCTCACATCCCTTGGACTATACCAAAGGGGCCGAAAAACTCACCACCATGGTTCAGTAGGGAGGTCCGTATCCTTCTCCGTAAGAAAAGGAAAACGTGGGATAGATTTAGGTTACTGGGGACTGATGAGTCAAAATCTCAGTATCGAAAGGCTCGGAACACTTGTGCCTCGACCCTCCGTAAGTCTAGAAAATTGTACGAAGAAAAACTTGTTAAGGAATCCATAGAATGTCCTAAACGCTTGTATTCCTATATAAACCAAAGGACAAGGAGAAAAGGAAATATTCCTGCTCTATGGGGAGACAGTACTGCTTCATCATTAGTGGAGGACGATTTTGGTAAGGCTCAAGCGTTCTCGAACTACTTTAACAACGTGTATACCATAGAAGCGCCCTTCTCGTCAGCGTATACAGATCCCCCCATACATACACTGGATAGCGTGACCATTAAAGAACTCGATGTCTTTGGTCTGCTAAATAAGCTTGACATAGGTAAATCCACGGGGCCCGATGAATTACATCCTAGGCTACTGAAGGAATTATCTAACTTCGTTGCGAACCCTTTAAGTACATGCTTTAACCTATCCGTTACGCAGGGTCGCTTACCGAAAGATTGGAAAAACGCCATAGTAAGTCCTGTCTTCAAAACAGGCACGAAACACAAACCTGAGAACTACCGCCCCGTTAGCCTAACTAGTGTGGTTGTTAAAATATTAGAAAAGATTATTCGGAAGGAGCTGTTTAAGTATCTCGATAAGAACCGGATCCTCTCGGAGAAGCAGCATGGCTTCAGAATAGGTTATTCTTGTCTCACTAACTTATTAGTGGCTCGTGAAAGCTGGTGTGCTCTTAAGGACCAAAAGCTACCTGTAGACGTCGCCTTCATTGATTTCAGTAAAGCTTTTGATAAAGTTCCGCACAACCGGCTGTTATATAAGTTAAGACATGTCGGGATTGGAGGTAATTTATTGATGTGGATAAAAGACTTCTTAGTTGGGCGTCAACAAAGAGTAAGGGTGAACTCAAAGTTATCTAGCTGGGAAACTGTGCTTAGTGGAGTGCCCCAGGGTACAGTTTTGGGGCCAGTGCTATTCCTCTTGTATGTAAATGACCTTCCTTGTCTCCTATCATCATCGGTCTTGCTATATGCTGACGATGTCAAGATATGGAGAACGATACGATGTAAGAGTGATAGCTTAGAACTTCAAAATGACTTGAAGAAGTTATCTGAATGGTCTCAAACATGGCAGTTGCCGATAAATACTTCCAAGTGTGTTGTGATGCATATCGGTCATCAAGGCACAGATACATACACGATGAATAACACTGAGCTACCTGTCGTCCAGACATATAATGACTTAGGAGTTATCGTTAGTCAAGACTTAAAGACTACTGCACACTGCCGTGCAATAGCCGCCAAAAGTTTTAGAACGTTATGGTCAATACGTAGGGCTTTTAGTCATGTCGACACTAAGACGTTTATGACTTTGTATACAGTGTTCGTTCGTCCTAAACTTGAGTACTGCATACAAGCGGCTAGCCCCTGCTTTAAAAAAGACAGAGAGCTTCTGGAAAAGGTTCAGAGAATGGCGACTAAGCTGGTTCCCGCAATAGCGAAGCTTCCGTATGAATCTCGACTGACCAAGCTGAACCTTTTCCCGTTGTCATATCGCAGAACTAGAGGCGACTTGATTACAGTCTACAAATTGCTTAGTGATAAATTCGCACCTAACATGCCCTCATTTTTCTTGTCTTCCAAAACAGAGAATTTACGAGGACACTCCAAAAAAGTTCATAAGCCGAGAACAAATTACTTGTCAGCTGACTATCGACTTTCCCATCGAATCATCAACGAGTGGAATTCACTACCTCAGCACGTGGTTGAGGCTCCATCCGTCGACTCTTTCAAAAGAAAGTTGGATCAACTGAGAGACCACCATTGCCAGGACTAGCATAGGCCATCGAGCCTCCTGTCCTTCCCAAACTGAAACTGAAACTGAAACTGAAACTGTATAACTTGGATTCATCATTCACAGGATACACTATGGATCCCATATTTTTTACTCCTTCCGTATCAAATATACTTACTTTTAGTAAGATTTTCTTTAGTAGAGCCGATGAAACATCACCAAAGCTAAGCAAATCATCCGGCAGACAGAACGTTCCATGATAGACCGATGACAATTAGACAGCAATTCGGACATCTTCAAGGTCTAAGATAGCCTGAAATGATTAATCAGTTCCAAGCCATAGATTGACTCATGGCACAGTGGCTGGATTTTGTTATTATCTGGTCTTACTAGTGAGCATTTGCACCAATGGGGTCCTTGTTCTATACAATTGTCAAAGTATCCACCACAAAGGATTAGTCCACTTTGGGTTCTAAACACGAGATGCGACCTTGTTGTGAGCTAGAAGGCCACTTCATAGCTATATAACTGTCTCCTAGTGTATAAAAAATTAGCAACGTCACATTTAAAGTAATACAAGCATTATTATTGCCATACATAACAATGCAATGTAATAAATAAAGCGAGGTAATTTAATAGTCTCACAGGAGGTCAACATGCAAGGGTTTTACCACATGCTCACACAAACATATATACAAATTGCTTACATGATTGTCTGTGTCACAACGCTGTTTGATATAAGCAGACAGTAAAGTGAATAATGTTAGCTTTCCGAAGACTCCACTTTCAGGCAATCGATGGGGACATTTGCGCTTTCTCTGCTCATGTAAAAAACTATGATCTTCCAAGAACTGTGTAACACAACTCAACTTTAGATGGATAAAGAGTTCAGTTAAATGTGATCGGGATGATACAGGCACAGCTGAATGAATGATACTTGTAATCCCCGTTAAATTCCACATTCGGCGACCAAGATCAGGAAAATCACAGAACAATTAGTTTGACGTTTGATAAAACACCTGACTAAGACAAACTGTGTATATTTATGAAAAGCTTTCTTCTAGTATCGTGTTTTAAGTTTGAACAGTTGTCGTGATTATATACATACACATCTTATCCCTCACAGGACATCGACAGGTAATTTTCTACCAACTCTGTCATGAGTCTGTAGAATTATGGTCTAATCCTAAAATTGTAGATTTGTCAAGATATAACTGCCTAATCTACAAGATCTTACGTGGAAGTCACATCTTCGTCTACACCAACTGACTGTATCGTAACAACCACCAATACATGATGAAGAACAAGCTTAGGCTAGAGAAAGAACAATATATTTAATATGAATAAACGATATAAGGTAACATTCAGCAGGAACCACGCCTGCATGGCCAAGCCATGCCATCCGATCCACTCTAATTCATTCAATTAATTGTTATCGCCTTTTTCTATCGTTAATAACCTCTCCTCGTTAAATATTGAGTATTTATTTTCTGAGTAGTCTTGTGTTTAGCTTTGAAGATTGTGTGGTTATGGTCCAATGCCACTACACACCCTCCATTTTCGTTGTTCCAATGTGCTATTGTGTAGTTGACATCTGACTCTTATTCCCGAAGCCATGTGCATTTCGGTCTGTTTGATACGTAACGACTTGGGAGTCATCGTTAGCCAAGACCATAAAACATCTGCTTTTTACCACGCGATAGCTGTTAAATGTTTCACAACCCTACGGTCAATACTGCTCCGTTTGGTCTAACTGCAGATACGAAGAGCTAGTTCATAGACAGACATTTAAGAAATGTAAAATCATGACAATTCTTACAAATTAAATAGCCAAAATAACCAGTTATACCAACTGTTCCCAAAACATTCATTTTACGGATGCTTGAAGTGGTTATCCTTTTTGCATGACACAGGATAGCAAAAGTCTACTGTATAATGATCTACAGAGTATCCTTTGTAATTCTTGGTTATTTCCGTCTGTATAAATTTCTACAACCATAAATCGCAAACTAAAACATTTCCCGAGCTGACAATCCGTAATCATAAAATACCGGTCGGTAGATTTTCTTGATAATGGAACATTGTGCAGAAGTGATTTATGCAAATGGGAAACGTTTCTTTTATTTGTTCACCAAGTCATTTTAAATTTCCAGTATCTATAGCCCGCCTTATAGTTGCAATATTGTTTGTATACGTAAATTAGGAATCAGAGACCTTCAGTCTGCTAAGCGCTTATATTAAGCTGTTTTCGACGCTAGTTTTTTGTACAGGTGTGTGTCAGTAAGTTGGTGTTCAAATGATAGACCACATGTTCCAATATGTTTCTCGGTTTTGGGGATCATAGATTAATACCTTTTCGTTACTTGCAACGGAAGTCATGAACCTCATGTGTAGGGTTAGGAAATAACTGTACGCGTTATGTTCTCACGTCATATATCTGTCCCCCGGACCTTTAAATTCATTGAAATGAAAACTGTTCTTTCAGAAATAAAATTCCAATTATAGACTAATTCTTCGCTCTCGCATGTTTCATGATGTTGAAATAATGCAGCTCCACATTGGAAAAATAAGTATACTCGATGTATTCGTGTGAAAATGGAAACATGAGAGCCTCTGTTAAATATGAACTGAAGTTTTTAGGTTCTCGAATAAATACATCAGCAGTCTATGAGTGCTCTCAGTGGGCTGTGCTAGTTGTTTATTCATCATTTTCTGGATCAAAGGGTTACGGTGGTACTAGAATATCTGTGATAACACCGGTCAAATTCGATATATTCTTCTTCAAATTAAGAGTGACTGAATATACTGCCCACAAGCAAACGTGTCACTGAGATACAGTGAAGGTAATTAGACATATTGGCCAGCACATATATATGTGTATTGGATGTCTTAATTGTCGCAACCATTCCCTCAGTTGTAATGTATTTATCAACATTACGTGAGTCTGGACATCAAAAGCTTTTTACTGCACCATCAAGTTAGATTAGTTAGTTTCATTCAATAACCTTTCTGAATTTGTTATGGTGTTGTTGCAAATAAGCATCAACAAACATTCGCAACTTAGTATAATAGTGTTCCCTGGTACTTAAGGTAATGATTTATAATGGTAGTTCCCAAGTTCTTATCCATTCGCTTAAAATGTTTGGTAGCAGGTTTATTTTTCAAACTTCATAAACTGTTCTTATTTTCCTCTAAACTACAATCGCTTTCTTTATTTCATAACATTGCGACATTATTGTCTTATGCCTTTTCTACGTGATATCACATGTGTGCCACATGATACACCGGTAGTGTATCTTCGTACACTGTGTATTATAAATTAATTTTTACCCACCAAGCCTTCGTTACTCATAATGTAATTGCTGATGAATCCTATGCATATTTCAAACAAATCACTCAAGTAAGCATTGAGTCTTGTGATATTCTTTGTGAATGTAGATTCGTAAATTTGCTTATACTGTAGTTCTCTCAACGAAAACCTGACAGACTAAATTCGGAATCTCCTATTGCATAGAAGTAACTTATGTTAAAACCAAGTAAATTGAAATAACAAACCACTGATAGTACCCTCCTTTGCCCGGACTTGGGACCTGTAGTAACTCGGGGGTTGTGAGTAGCTGATAAAATTCAAAAGCAGCCATTAATTGCATCAGTGTAATTTTAGGGGATAAATAAATTGTGCATGTAATTTTAAAGTAATGATTTTCTATTGTGTTGCATTCAATTATATGTCAGTGGAAATGTTCTGAATAGTAATCGTGATTCTTTTGTTTTTCCTCAGTCAAGTAACTGTCGTCTATCCATGAGGTTCAATGTAATTTTGTTAAAAGTGAAACGGTGAAAATAATTTTAAAAAACGATGTCAACCGCAAGTTCACATCCGTATAGTAATCTCAGTTTAACGACCGATCCCCTTGCTACATTAATGAAGCCTGATATTATTTCAATGTCAAAAAATAGTCAAGTTATAAACGGTGGCGGTGGTGATTTGACATCATCTTCTACCACATCATTAAATCGTACAAATCCCTCCATAAATTCATTGAATGTTAGTAGTCACACATTGGATAAAGTGAAAGTTGCAAAAGTTACATTGGAATATTACTACGACAATTTAATTGTTCAGTATCGAGAACGTCAAAATAGGTGAGTTCGTTTTAGGGTAGTATTTGAAAGTAAATTCATACATTGTAACAATCAGTTAAGTAGATTTACTACTCATTGGTCCACTTTTTCATTTTTCATCCACTTGATCAATAGTTTAAACGCCATTCGACATTGTGTTGAAGCGATTATGAAGAATTACAAGCCACCATGGAATAAGTGTAACGTTTAGCCTAAAATATCAACTTACATGTAATTAATAAATTTGATTATTCATTTGCTATGAATCCGGATGTTATGTGTAGATAAATGAGATAACAGGAATGACTATTCCATTACAATAGTTATATGAGTACATGGAATTTTGTTTCTAAGGTATTAATTTTATACATAGGGGTGTTAATATAGTGCCTGTTTAATTCCCTAAATTAGTGAACTTCGGAAAAGTATACTGAATGTTACCATCATTATGCTGTCATAATTAAGCTGGTCTTAGGCTTATCTAGATGAAATGTACGCTCACTTTACAGTTAAGGCTTATGGACTCTAGTTATTGAGTCTAAAACCCTGTAAGATTGATATATTCACACTGATTGATCATAAACTAGTTACTGATATCATGTTCCTAACGATCTGGCCGCAATGCGGCCACCAGTCTTAGTGGCTGATTGTTGTAATGATATAATGGGATTAAAAAGCGAAACTACATTCTTTTACTCACTGTGATTTTTGTTCAAGATACGATATTGTTGTATTAAATTAACATGGACTATGCTCAGCATGACACTCAGCATTTGATTTGTTATAACTAAGTTTTTTTTTGTGTATGTGATTTCATCCTAATTATTAATGAAAATAAGTGTACAAATCGATATATGAATGAGTATATTTTTGACTACGGTCGTCGTCGTGTTTTAGGGTTAATAAATTTTCACTTGTACCAGTCTTTGTGTTCTTACTTTCTCGTCGTGGGAATTGTACTGGTTCCATGTTTTACAGGCATAAATGACAAGCGATTCCAACATAATTCACAACGACTAGATATAACACTTAGTGTACTTTGATGTTATATTGTTATTCATCATTGTACTGACAAACCGTTATCCTAAAGATGTTCACATAAAGCGTTTAAGGTCTAAAAGGAGTAAAATCTTGTTTTGTGTGGAAAATCTACTCTACTGAATCTGTCGGTTGTATATTGTGTCTGTTGGTCACTAAAATGTAGAAACACTATTGAAGTAATTTCTTGTGGTAAAAAATAAAATGTTGTTACGGTCCAAGATGTTTTATCCTATGAAAATGATCTATGCTTTGCATATCTTTAAAAACCGAATCCCTTTAACCCACCTCTAAAGACTCCAGTCACGTACATATGAATCTTCTGACCGCTATTTAAATTTCAATGTGACCAAATTACATAGGCCTGTGTAACTGGTTTACATTTGGATTATATAACGCTCTCTTATGTCTCTAAAATCACTTGGAGAAGGCTGACATTCTTAAACGTTAAATGCTATGGAATATTAAGTGCTTATGTTTAATTAATTAGCTAATATGAAACGAGGAAGAGCATCTGGTTCAGATGGATTGGCTCCAGAGGTCTTTAAGGATGGTGGTGCAGTTTTAGCGATTAGGTTGACTAAAATCTGCGAGTTTGATGTAATCCCATCTTACTGGTTGTCCTTATTTGTAAGAAGGGGTCAAAATCATCCTCTGATAACCATAGAGGGATTAGTTTGACTAATATAGCATCTAAGGTACTAACTTCAATAATTATTGGACGCCTAACAAAGACTCGTGAACTGCAAACACAAGAAAATCAGGCTGGCCCCAGACTTGGTCGTGACTGTATTGACCATATATTCACCATTCGTCAGGTCCTAGAACATAGGCATACTTATCGGCGTCCGACAATGGTGGTCTTTCTTGACTTAAAAGCAGCATTTGACTCGGTCGACCGCGAGATTCTGTGGCAGTGTCTGTCATTGAAAGGCGTACCTCAGAAGTACATAAACCTTGTGAAGGCTCTTTACTCGAACACTACTAGTCGAGTGAGAGCTTATGGCAAACTGTCATCTGCTTTTGCAACCTCAAGTGGTGTCCGTCATGGCTGTCCACTTTCTCCATTTTTGTTTAACTTCATCATAGACTTATTGATGGAAATAACATTCTCGTCTACTGAATTCTCGAGTATTGATCTCCTACCAGGAGGTCCACTTATCGACTTAGAATACGCAGATGAGACAGTCCTGTTTGGTGAAGACGCTGATAAAATGCAGAGTCTTTTGGTAGCACTGAGCAACAATGCCAGAATGTTTGGAACGCGCTTCTCTCCCTCTAAATGCAAGTTGTAGCTTCAGGACTGGTCTGCATCAACACCTGAACTAAGGATAGGAAGTGAAGTAGTCGAACGCGTTGACAACTTCACTTATCTTTAAAGTCTGGTCAACCTTAATGGGTTGGTGTCTGACGAAATCTCAGCACTCATTGTAAAAGCTCGCTTGGCTGGTTGGAAGAAGGTTAGGGGCGGCCAAACCAAAGCGTGGCATCAGTGCTTAAAGTCACTAACTTGTAGTCTGAGCCATGTTGGTAGATGCAGGCTACTTGGTTGGGGTCCGTGTGACTATCGTAACCAATTGTTGGAGACTGGGTGATATGGCTGAGAATCGATCACAGTGGCGGTGTATACACTCTTTGTTTTCTCTTAAGCCGTGAGATTAAAATTTATATATGCCTTTCTTTCTACGAACTAATTACTTCTTGTATCATATGTATTCAGTCTGTTTTTATATATTATTACTATTGGAGTAACCACTTCTATGAATTTGGTGTTCGTTTTATTGTGCTAATGAGGTGTGGCAACTTGTACTGATGCATATATGTGCCTGGTCTTACGTTGTAGCTGACTGACTTAATTAACCGATATATCCTCATCAGTACTAAATGTTCCTCTAGTAATTTTGTTACATGTCAGCCAATGGTCTTTAAATTTGGTTTTGTTTTCTGCTTAAAATCTGGTCATTAAGTGTTTTATCAACATATCCTTTTGTAAATTTAGAACAACATATATAAGCGAACAATATTGTTTTCGATTATATCCTCATCAGGCTTTACTCTACTATACAGTAATATTTATTTGCATATACGAAATTATTAAACCAATCAAGGTAGTTTATAAGTCAATGATCCTTTTGTGATTTTCTATCACTTTAATCATGACAACTATGGATTCAGTTTTTACTTCCGCATAGTGTCCTCATTTCATCCAACACATATTTCTGCCCCTACTCATACTGCTCCAAAGGTTCACTGTCTTAGACAGATACAAATCTGTGTAACAAACGCTAATGATCGATATCACCGTCTCATAAAGTAAAGATTCAGATACTTGTCAATGAGCCATAATTTCTTTGTGAACACTAATGATATTGTCCTAATATCTATTTTCTTTGGTAAGTGAAATGAGATTAGAACTACCAACCTGGTAGGCGGTTAATACAGCTGGTTTTCATGTTAGTGTAATATTTATCATGGAAAATGCCATTTTCTGCTCTCAATACAATACTGTTAATATTTCTCTTTTATTCATTATTTCTTACTGACAGGTACAAAATTTTAGAGTCAATGATGGAAAGTGAAGGCTTAACAGAAGAACAAGTAGGCATTTTTTGTTTTATAAAATTCTTATTATATACCAGCATTTACCGATAACAAAGCTTTATTTTTTTTAACTGATAAAATATGAGGTTTCATCAAAAGAATAAAATATTCTACCTGCTGCGTTCTATATGGCATTCAATAGTTTGTTTTCAAATACGTATCAACCTGTTCTTGATTTCATCTACAATTTTGGCCCAATACTTTAAATGATCATATTTGTTTCAATACATATATGTGTTGATGGTAGTTTGTTATGATTATAACTTACTACTATATATAGATCTTCATTTAACAGTCTCGAATGATCACTAGCATAACTTTCATCTGGGATCTTTTAAAAATTCATATATTTGAAAATGATACCTTGTGTGTTGTCCTTCAGTTAGTTTTCCCTTCGTTTTTATTTTATCAGACTTGACCAGTTCGCTGATTTTTGATTGTATATGAAATAGCTACTGGTTTAGCAGTCAAACATTTTATCTCTCCAAACGAGATTTCATTTAACTCATGTTAATAATTTTAAATTAAGAAAACAAGAGTTATCATGTTCAATCAAACTGGAATCAATGTTACTTATTTATTAACAATGAATTTCACTTTAAAGATGATAAATCTGTGCACACTTGTAGTTTCTGTCTACGATGAACCTACATAACGCTAGCAGCATATAAATTAAATCTGTGACCTTTAATTTTGATTACTGATCGTATAAAAGTTTCAATGGAATAATGGTTTACCAATTTAATTCCTTAAATTTTGACGACTGGTTTGTGGATTTAACTCGAGCTCCACCTACAATCTTGTTTAGGAAGCTAGAAAGTACTTTTATTAGCACTACTATAAAAAGCGTACCTCAAAAATAAGCTCTAGGAGCTACGATCAGTTATTGAGTTTCATTAATTCAGTCGAATGTATTTATATTTTTCTAAGATTTTATCGAATCACTTATGGTATCCTGTTCCGGATAAATGTTATATTTCAACAATTGTTCTTATTATCAAATATAGTTACTTGAAAAATTACCTGGAACCATATATATGCAGTTGAACAACCCAGTATATCTTTATCGTTATTCCTACTTTGTTTTCATACAGAAAAAATTCAAGATATCTATCAAAGAAGAAGTTGTGCTCACATGTTTTTGCATTTGTGTTTATTAGTAAACAACCAAATGGCCTAACATAATCACAAAATATAGACATTTTTGTGTTCGTCTAAATAAAAATTGATATAACTATCTACACAATTTATATTGATTCATAGTTTAATCCACAGAGTATTTATTACCTAAATCAATGAGAATATTCATTACGATTGAGTAAATTAGAATGTTGAGCATAGCACATTATTGAATTTTAAACGAAATAAGAGGAATAATATATGAGTTCAGAATAATTATAGACTGAAGGTTAATGAAATCCGTCATGTTAAACAGTTTCCAACTGTCATAATCTGTATTATGATAATATGTTTTGAAGTATTAGTTGTAATGTAACCTACAAGTCACTTCGTTTCGATGAACCTGTGAAATCTCGGGCAAGCATTAAACCTGATAGTTAAATCTTGATTTTGTTGGCACTGTAGGAACTCACGAAATTCATATATTTTAATCCTTTATCTTTTAACTAACTTTTAATCATCATTTTTGTATTCGATACTGAGTATGTGTGCTTGTTAGTCTTTTGTAATCAAGCATCTGTTTCCTTCTGATATCTGTCCATTTAGAACCCGATATATTAAGATGATCGTACCTATTAATTCATTTCAACTAGTTGAAAGTAACTGTTTGTCAATTTGCTTCTCTGTCAGCTTTTCTCGAAGTTCTTAGTTGTTTGTACCTGCAAACATTTCTGTTTAGTTATTTTCTGGGTTGCATAAAGAACATGAAATAATGATAACAAATTTGTTATATATCGTATTAACATAGCTCCCAAGTTTGACGGCAAGACGAAGATGTAGGATAGAGACACGAAAACTGTGAGGTAGGTTGTTCGAAGTGTATAACCTCCATGCATCGTTACATTTGTCTGACCGTAAAACCTTTCAATAATCACAACTCTTCCCTGATCCTGGGACATAATCTTTCAAGGCTTAGAATGTTCAACAGTTATCTTTGTTCAAATATTACTGCACTGGACTTACGATTTGTGTTATTCATGCCATATAAGCTACCGTGTGACCTAAAAATTCGAGTAGGATTGATCTAGTCTTTAAACATTAGTTTCCGGTTACTTTGTATGGATGTGCTGATACATTACGACGTGATTTCACAGAATGATGTAACGAGTTTATGTCTGTCAATTTTCCTAAGTGGAATTCGGGAAATCTTGATACTCATATCAATTCGGACATAAATCCTAATTGAAGTCAGTGTTAATCATTCCGTTTTCTTTCATCGTGAATAATCACTATCAACTAAGATTTAATTCATCTTACATGTCTGACTCCTCATTCATATAGTAGTGTAGGAACGTGAACCGATAGAAATATATACAAAGTTCTACGTTGCAAATAACTGCCTGTTTGTCTTATGTTATTATTTGCCTCGCGCCTCACATTTATTTTCCTAGTATCATTCTATCACTTCCTTGCACATATCTTTTAGTGCTATATGATTAACGTAAAATTGAATGACATATATTTGTCTGTATAAATACTTATTCTTCTGCATTAGACAGTTAAGTTTTATCAATTATTTCCAACTCAAAAAAATTTGTATTATGCTCACTTTAGAGTTACATATGTTGTTTTTTTTACTTAACTATATTGGCATTGTTAATGCTGATTGGTTGTCCCCGTCAATAAACTCGGCATTTTTTAGGTTGTTGGTGGATTATTATTATTTTTTACCTAGTTCGGAAGTACACCATTATATTGGTTTGTTTTTATAAACACCAGTTCACACTACTTGATATACTACTACTAGCGTATAAAAATGTATGCTTACAACTTCTGTTTCCTGTAAAGTGGTGGTTGACGGTAGTCGACAGGGAACCCCAGACATAGGTTTCGTGGAATCTGACCCTCATCAGTAATGTGTACCTGTGATGTTGAAGGAACTGATGTTCCCTGATGTATACAGTCCCACGTAACCCAGCTTCACAATCTGAGATGCTACCACGGAGCTATCTGGGTTGCGACTGACCTCCTGTAAGATTATGATGTATTTACAATTGATTGATGTCGAGTCACATAGAAGTGGCCATATTGCATCTTGGTTTATGGAATTCAACCTCCACTAGGAAGGACCTGACACACATATGACATTAGTCACTACCCACCGTTCGACCAATTGTAAATGTTTTCGCTATGCTAGGCTTGACTCTTCACAATTGTATTTGTTACAACAGAGGCCATAATCTATAGAAATACCATGAAGTCCCAGCAATAATAATGAGCCACTGAAACAAAATAAGATGATCAGGATTTTGTAATTTATATTATCAACCTTATGGGTTTCTCATAAACGTAAACTTAAATCTCACTTTTTTCTCGATTTGGTAATGTCTCGATGTAAATTTGTTATTTCCGTACAAACATGTTTTTCTATCAAATGATTTATATAGATTATAGTAAATCCATTTTTTATTTACTTTGAAAAATATGAAACAAAATAAAAACTAGGTAGAAAAAAGTCATCTTATATTGGTTGTTTGAATCGTCACATCGACGTTCAGGACTTGAATTGATCAATTTCTTATTGGCATATGTGCATCCCGTGTAGATCGTCTCGAAATTGTCTTAAGTCACAAGCATTATAAGTACAGGTTGCACAGGATGCGCATATGACAATAAGAGACTGATCGATTTTAGTTATAAACGTCAATGAGAATATTCGAATAACCAATACAAGATTAGTTAAACTTCACCCCATCGCACAAGCCTGTGGCTATGTATATTCCGTAACTAAGTAAATAATGTGATGGCAATATCTGAAGAGTAGTGTGCTTTTCATTAAATCTGGCGTGCAGTATTAATTTATGAAACGTTATAGTTAGGGAGCATGTGAGTGTATGAAGCTAGTAGAAATGACCGATGTATTTTAAGGTATTGCTAGATTAATGTAGATTGGCTGTGATCGTTATGATACAACTAGCAATATGAACAACACGTATATCATTTAGTTACCCACATCTGTACTGAATCTAATCATATAAATGATGAATTGTAGTTTTAATACTGCAGTACCAACGTCCCTCAACCATGTATCGAATAATTGGATAGAAATCATGAATTTCCTATAGTTTTAAAGTTCACTTTGAAATAACACAAATTCTCACTTAAAAAGTTTAGATAGCAATCTACGAAAAGAAAATACTTTGTTCATATTGATATTCTGTATACATCAACAAGTTTTCAGTCATTTATCATGTCGTCGAAATTTGTGTTACAACCCATCTATTCCAATTGAATCTTATAATATTTCAAACCTTTTTTTAAAAAAAATTTGGCTCAAGTTACTTAATATAATCAAATAAAGTCTAAATTTACCGAATACACTAGTCGAATCCTAGAAATTAGAAATCGATTTTTTTTCCATGGTAAGAGATATGCATGTTTGATAATTGAACATTTAAATATAGTTTCTTTTTGATAGTTTCTTATCTTGTACCACAATCGAATAAACAATACAGTGAATAAGTAAGGAAGTCAGTTAAATGAAGTAAATAAACAAAACTACAATGTTTATAGAGGAACTATATTTTCTTTGAAATTGTCAAGATAATTTCTTAATTTGTTTTAACAAGCATCAATTATCTGACTCCACTGTTCCAACTCTATCATATCAATAATTAATAAATAAATAAACGAACTGGATGGAATTTTATCTTTTCCCGTTGTTTAAAATAGTTGTTGCTTCTTGTTTTGCACGTCAATAACATTTGTTGTGTTTACACCCATATCTTGTTGAATACAATGTTTTCTAGAAACAAATCAAACGTACACAACATGCTCTCAAAGAAAGTGAATTTCTCCGACTTAAACGAGCACGACTCACAGTTGATGATTTTCTACCTCTTAAAATAATTGGTAAAGGAGCATTTGGTGAAGTAAGTTTGTTTTGCATGTGATTCTTTCTTTATGTGTGTGTATTTATATGAATATACAAATTCCTTTTATCCATTTGACTAATGATGTGGGAAGCGGTTTGAAATCTTAAAATTCTACTACATTCGGAAGCATTTAGTATAACGTTTGATGTAAGAAAAATACATGAGTGGTGTTTATGATAACATATGGTTAAGTTGATGCTACTTTTGCTGATATAAATAGTTGTTGTTGTATGCTTCCCCTTGAATCCAACATCGTCGTTGGGAATATAGTTCTTTCTTTGTTAGAATTTATCGCCGACCAAAAATGAAAAAGTTCGTTACTTATTCGACTTTTATCAGTACTTTTTATAATTCATTAGAAAATGAAAACAGGAATTATAATCATTCATTTTTGCATTGATTGTTTGTATTTTCCCGTTGACGTTCAGGACTGCAATTGGTCAGTCTCTCATTGGTATATATGCATCCTGCGCGTATTGCCTCGATATTGCTTTAGGTCATAAACGTTATATGCAGAGATAAATGGCGGCTGTCAGTGGAATCCACAACGCGCGTTTCGTCCCGCTCGGGACTCGTCAGCTGGATATACCTGTACCAGCTTATGAGTCCCAAATAGGACGAAACGCGCGTTCTGGATTCCACTGCTAGCCATCATTCATATTTTCTTATGATTATTAATAATAATACTCATAATTAATGGATGAGAATTTTTATCAACTGTAGTCTAATGATAAATATCTTTCTAAATTATAAAATACTAAACTACAATTTAACATTTTCAGTTGTTTTCACAGATTGAAATCATGAGTCAGTTGAAGCCAGACCACCATTCAGTTGTGTTTACGTAAATGTTTACCTTTTCCTCCTCTTTTTATTTTTCTTGTCTTAATTGTGAATTGATTAATTTCATTGAAATGTTGAGTAGTTAAAAAATCGATTTGTTTATTTTATGTAACCTGTTTTATGACAAGATCGTGTATGTTTGTTGTTGTATGAGTTAATTTATGTGCGTGTATATGTTTATCAGGTTGGGAAACATATACTGAAAAAGGGGTATAGAATACACAATAGGTTTATGAATTCTTTTAAATGATTAGAAAGGTCATTCACTCATCAAATAATAAATTTATTTACTTATTTTATACACATAAGATGACAATGATATCATCTATTGTTTGTTGCTTTCTAAAGTATACATTCTAATTTTCTGTGTGTTTTGGTCAACATTTTTTACGAATAATGATTTATTGATATCAGTATTAAAATTTATGATTCATACTTAGTCTTATTATGTAATCACTAATTGTTAGACTTAACCACATTGGTAGGTACAGAGATCTAGATTAGAACCCCTTTGGAATATAATCTTAACTTCTATGTTTTGTAATGTTAAATAATGTGACCTAGAATTAATCAAAATAATACAGTTATGTTCATTCCTAATGTTTTAAAACTTGGTATTAGGATCATTCTATATATTTGAATGAATATCAAGAATAGATACATCTTTACCCCGCTGAAGTTTATGGAAATATTGATTGTGTATTGACTACACTATCCGCATTTAAACCATTGAATTCTGTTTAATTTCCACTCAAGATGACTCTTCCGATTCGTAAATAAATTTTTGCAGCTTAGTCAATTTTTCTGTTCAAATTTGTAACCACTGTTTTGATTATGTAAGACAAGTACCTCAAGTTACCGATTTAGTAGACTCACTGATTAATTGTCCTAGATGTGCTCATCAATTCAAATAACAATATCAGTCGACAAAAATAATCCAAAACGTCTCTCACCAATAGTTCATTCTGATTTATATAGGTTATTTGACTAATATAGACTTAAAATGATAAGCCTACGCAAAATCTGGAAGGTTTTTATTTGTAAATAAATATTTTCCACATCCGACCATAATATTACATTGGATATTGGGTCTACAAACATTCATACCTAAGGAGGTTAATCAATAAAAACTAATTCTGAACAATATAATCTGTTACATATTCAAACAGGTAACACTGGAGTGGATTGTAGTTCCCGTCCACTTTTAATAAAGCCACATTGTAATGATTAACCGAAAGAGCATATCCTTACTCCCAGTTTAACTTACAATAATGTTAATAATGTATGTACCCCCTTCGTATTACCTTTCCCATATCCACGCGTTATATGGTAAACATTCCAGCTATTTGGTTAAAAGTTATACCTTTGATTGAAACTTCGTGTGTAAAATACCGTTGATATTGCCGAAGCAGATTATTGGACAAAATTTATAAAGTTTTGATTACTATTGATGATAGTTATAATCTACGACACTTGAATCCATCTAAATCAATCTTAAGTGATGACTAATTTTATTGTTTTTTTTTCTATATTTTGAATTCTCTATCTTTTATCAAGAAATCTAGTTTTTTTTTGTATCTCGTATATACATTATTGTATGCGAATACATTATTATATGTATGTGTGCATGTGTACATAGGAAAATACCTATGAGCCTAGATACACTCAGATACTTTTACAAATCTTGATAAATAATTTAATTAGATTTTATAATTCAAAAATAGGATGATTCATCAAACACTTGTTTTATGGACCCCTTGTGTATCTATGCCTTTTAATTTAGTTATTTATTTGTCTGTTTGACAATTTTCTTGAAATAATGTACAAAATATTTGTTAGATACATTTAGACTAAATTTTTGGACGACATTCAAATAAGACGAAAATATTATCGTATTTCTTCATGGTTAATTCTTTTCTTGAATGATCATTTTATTTAGGTAGATAGAACTAAATTACGCTAGACTGCAGACACATGAAAAGATAATGAAATATGTGTTATATTGAATAATCTCAGACTACATAAACTGTAAATGTCATGTTTACATGTTGATTCATCGGTAGTTTTGTAATTACAATTTTTCGTTTGTTTCTTCATTACAATAAAGTGATTGGGTTGATTTCGACACAAAAATCAATTGTGCGTATATATTAGAATACTACAATTGAGCTCGGTGATTTAAAAAATGGATAATATTTTTAGCATGTTAAATTCCAGTATCCTTTGGAATACTTAACGTTGTGGAATATAAAAGAGTAAATAAATCGGAAGGATTTTGATGGAAGTGGTGAACCTTTAAACATATGTTCCGTAAGGAGCTGTTGACATTGGCGAGTAAAAAGTGCGAAATAATATTGTAAATCAAGAGTTACGGACAAGTTTGAATAAAAAATAAATGTGGGATCGGTTCGAAAGTCTTTCACCAACGATCTTTGTGAGAAGTTCCAAAATGTTTCTCGGAAAAGTCCGTAGGGACTCAGAAGACTTTCATAAACCATTTATCTGGTCAGCGTTAAGTATAAGCTCTTCATTAAACATCCAGAAAGTGAAGAGCCACTTGTCACACTTCTAACTTGTTATTTACCTATACTGGTACTCTATTTAGTATGATTACAGAAGCTCAAGATTTTGTGTAACTTTATTAACACCCTTGATTTACTGTATATAAACTTTCACCTTTTCTCCAGTTTTCAAGATGTGTAGATTTGGTCTAGGTTTATTAGAAGCGGCTAGAAATTTCGATCGAGTGTTCACTTAACAGACATATCAGTGTTTAATCTTCAGCACATTATCACCAGCCTTAACCAAAGTCAGTCAGTAACAACGTAGAACTTCATACGTACGTACATCAGTTCGAGTTGCCATACCACATTAGCACAGAGATGCAGTTGTCGATTCAAATCCCATAGTTGTAGAGGGGGTAAGCAGAAATCGGCAAGACTTGGGTTTGAAGATGTTATTCAAGGATTATAATACAGTGAAATAAAATTGGAAAGAGGAAAAAAGAAAAATGAAGAATTCAGAAGATTTGAATTTGGGAAAACACAAAGAGTGGATGCACTTGCGCCATTGCAAACGATTTTGAGCCATGTCATTCAGGGTCTTTACCCATCGGTTGCTATCAACTCGCGGTCCCCAACCAGGTAGTCTACAAATCAGAAGGCAATGAGTAGCGGCGACTACAGTCTAGTAGCGGATAGCGCAGGCAAAATTATAAGCACATCTAGCGAATTTGAAGCGGAGTGGCGAACGTGTGTGTTTACAAGCGAATACAAAGACAAATTTATGATCAAACAAAATCAAGGCTCAGTTAGGCAAGGTAAATGCTGATGATGGGATTCTAGTAAATATATGCATTGGGAAGAGAATGACTCATTGATTCATATTTAAGCGATTAACATTTTAGCTACAGAGAGATATGTACGTAGGCTGTCATCTGATCAACCGTACATATGTATACAGATATCATATTGATTATAATAGAACAAAAAATTAGACAAATCCTTACTGCTCGAAAAAGATTGTCTGTTAAGTTAGTTAATAAAAGGGCTTAACAAAAATTAACCATAATCGAAATCGGTTGTAGGAGTGTTGTCATAAATATAGGTAGTGAAAATAACATGATTTAATAATAAAAAACTTGTTTTGTAGAATTATCATTATTGTCATTTAGATGTAGTTCGTCATTATTAAACATTTCATTTCTTGTCTTTCTTGCTCTACTACCATTAACTGCTAGATGGTTGTGTTAACCAATGTAACTAGCTTCAACCCTATGGAAATCCTATACAACTGATTACATTTGAACCGTGATAAACTGGATTTATGTCATTCTGGTTAAATTCATTGTTCTTGTCCTGTTCGAACTGCTTTATTGTGTTAAACTGATTAGTTTTGTAAAATTCTATGATAAATCTACTTGTTGAGGTTTATTCTTCCTTTGGAGCACTTGACTAGTTCTTTCCAACGATATGTAGTGTGAAGTCTGTATCTGTTTGTTGAAGAGATGAATCAACCTCTCTGTATTGTCCTTATTAAGTCATATTTGGAGATCTCAGTTGAATACAAGGATGATTATGCCATTTATGTAGTTTACATTTGCGTTGATTATTTCATCTCTATGCTGATCTTATGTGACAGCTTGAAGCGATGCACATAAATATTAGGTTCTGTGTCACTTGTAACTGATTAATTTTACTCTATAAGAGCGGTAAACTGACTGGTAATAGTACTGAGATTATTAAGCAAACAATTTTTTTCTAAATTCAGGAATAAGGCAGAGTAATCGTAACGTGTTATTCACAATTATGCTAAATGAAGTCTGTTATGCAATGAGGTTAATTTTATTTACAGTTGTGTTTTTACTGCTAAGTATATGAGTAGTTTCTTCTACGGAAAGATAATGTACTTTGAAGTATATCTCTGTTTACGAATATATACCAACAAATATCTTTGTTTTTAAGTGATAGGTTTTTAAGAAGAACATCACACTGCACTTATATCCAGGCTTTTAAAGTGGAACAGATATAGAGATATTTATCGTTGTACTTTTCAATTATTCAAAGACCATTGGGAAAACATATTACTTTTCTATAATTTTGATAGACTTTTCTCATCATGAGTAGAATGCTATTTCTAATGACCGGAATGTCAGATATTTCTGTTTTAAACTAAAATATGTGACGGAATCTACTGAAATGTGTAATACAGAGCAGGAATACTCAAATGGTTTACTTTAATTAGATTCCGAATTAACTATTGTGTATGTGTGCATAGATAGAGAATCGCTTTATTTTCATACTTTAAAGTTTATCTATTCGGCGAGTCTATAATGTATGGACGGCCTTTCAGTGACGCCAAAGAGTGACCTTGAGAATGTTCACTTACTAACTAGGACTAAATGAGGTTCATAAACCAGTGTAAATAATTAAAATTATAATTTACAATTGATGGTTAGGGTTAGGAATTAGATTTAGTGTTTTCATAACAAACTGACGTTAGCTAAAATGCCAACGCGCTATTTAGCCAAATGTATGGATGAATTTCGCGTCAAAATTCAAGACTTGTTATTTTGTCTGATTGGCTGGTCCATAAATTATAGTCTCGCCATTTATTTTTGTTGACTGTGTAGTTCTGTTATTCTTTTCGTCTTTGTATACCTATTTTAGTAGTTTACTTATTATTTCCTCCACAAATTCTCACCTACTTAACAACGTTAGAAATAAAATTTTGTCTGAATACTGTACGCATACTCATTGAGGGGAGTCTAAGTGGTTGATTGTTGGTGGTCTTGTCCAGTAAGGTTTTACTTTGATTCTTTTCTTTATCTCTGCTGATTTGGGATGTTGCTATTTTTAAAAAAATATAATGAATAATTCATTTGATTCAATAAGTAAATGGATTTGCATAAATCCATTAATATTTTGTCATTTAACAATAGAACAAAATAGAAAATTGACTTTAATAGATCATTTCTGTAAAGTTTAAGCTGTTCAAACCATTTGTAAAACTCTAGAAATAATGTTTCTTTTTTCTCGTTTTTTTTCTGTGAGAGTTAATAAAGGGGATTAACTGAATAATTGTAATCTACGGGAATTCCACTTTTTCAATTTATAATACATCATCTTATATTAATGACTGTTCATAATTTGTTCTTCGTATCAATTATTAAACGTATAACCAATACATTAGTCATCGTGTTTAAACTAATCGAAATATTTGACGGTTCTTCAGATTGTATATAACTTCAAACGACCACATTCCCTTGTAAATTATTCAGGTTACTTTGGTTCTTAATGGGATGCTCCTTAGTTTATTATTGTTATTCAAATCTTAAATGTATAATTACGTGTTAAAATGACACCGAATGTTCTAACAGGGCGAATATTGGAGAATTAAGTTATTGAACTGTTTTACTTATCATTAACTTTTGTTGTATGATTATTAAATAAATTGGGTCATCACATTTCCATATTCAGTGTTTTTCCAAGGTTCCTTTAGACAAATTTACTAATGCTACAAGTGTTACCATTCCTTACTTATCACATACTAATTGCTCATTGTTTGCTTCATTTTCTGTCACTTAACGCTTGGTTATATCAAAAGTATGGTTTTGGATTTAAGGTATGTTGCGGTCTGATTATTCGTGCTCATAAACCTATGAGTGCTTAATTTGTAATTAATAATTTGCCTACTTTCTGTATTCTCTTAGTGAATTCAGTACTGGGATAAAAAAAACATTCTCTTGATCAAATAGACGTTTATATTAACTTGTGACTGCTCAAAATTATCGTTGTTGTATGAACTGTGTCTGAATTCGAATATAGCATTGATCGTGCTTACAATGGGTCAGACAAGTCAGGTAATGAAGTAGGAGCATTTAAAGGAGGACCCTCAATGTCACTAAGATTATTGGGAGATTACATTATGTGAAAAATAAACTTACGAGTCGGGTAAAATAAACAATGTGACAAACAGAATAAACTTCGGGTTCACCAGACAATTGTGATGTACCAAAAATTATATTAACTCAAAAGTGATAATAAAGTTATTATGTCCAAAAATTAATGTATTAATATACTAAATATAATTTATAAATACAAGAAAAATGTACTGGACGTTACTTAAATTGTCAGGACTTGGCGTGTTTGAGTTGCTTTTGGTTTAATAATACACAATTATAGGTAATTAATAATTCCAATAATGATTGTTATAATTCGAGCGGTATATCCAGATGGAGTATACAGTGGAAATATGGCTGTGGTCTATAAATGTAGGTAATAAATATTTTAGAGTTCAGTTATCATAACATCAGACAATTGAGAACGGTAGACATGTGTGTGTAGCAGTGTATTTATGAGCGGTTATCAGTGTATCGTGCTATATGTTATTCCAAACGCAAGCGGAAATATTCAACGTCATACAATTTTAAACAACTTTTACAGCTATTTGTAGTAAATGTACAAATTATGAGAACTAACAAAAAACGCAAATAGTATCAAAAAGTGATTACAAAATAATTTTGTCGTGAACATCTCGGTGTATAATATATCATAAAGTTCATACAGTGTCATAAAACTTGGGGACAATTATCAACTAACTTGAATACTATAATTCCTTTTGCTAAGTTTTCATTCTCACTTAAACAGCGTAATCAAATGTTATTGAGATCATAAACCAACCTAAATTAGACAACCAATTAAAACCAGGAAACACGCGATAGCTGTTTTATTCAGGTTCGGAACTCCACGGGTATGCCCATTCACGTCTTCTCCATGAGTCGAATCCGAACGCCTAACTTTTAAGTCTCTGTTTCATCACCCAATAGTTTATATTTCTAACGTCAGTTGGTTCGTAATGTTGTGCAGTCATCTTCCTACATCGTTGCTGATTAACTGCCTCACACTGAATATGGACTCCACTAGTTCTGGCTTCTCATTAGAACTCCAGGAATTACAATATAGGGATTTCGTGGAGACCATTTGGTTTTATGGTCAACAACTGTTGACTTGTGCTGAGACAAAACAGCTGTTCAGTTTTTCCTGATTTTCAGTGATCGTTTAACTTAAATTGACTTGTGATGCCAATTGCACTCAGTTAATTGTTTGCTTCTTTCGTCTTCGTTTTGGTTGTTTATTAAACAGGCTATGTGGTCAAAATCAAAGGTCACAGAGTTATTTTGAATCCAACTGATAAAAATATAAAACAGTTTAACATGTGACTGCATTTTTTTGGAGACTTTTAATGAATCATAATTGTCATAGGACTAAATTGTAAAAATAAGTGAAGTGTATTTACATCAATTGATGATGACGAAGGTTTTCTAAAAGACTTAATAAACGTCATTAATTTATATATTTTCGCTCTCAATGATCTTAATATCAAACTTTTATTCACTTCATCCTTTTGTTCATTGGTTTTAATGATTTTTTAGGCATTGAACTACGTTCTTAGCCAGTTATAAACAAAATGAAACCTGATGCATGTGTACATTTGTCCCCCTCTGGAAGAAACTACTTTTGGTTTATTGAGTTCGACTGTTAGGAATTAAGATGGAAGTACATCAAGTACATCCTATTTATCGTTTATTCATCAATAATTATTAGTAACACATGATATCAAACAGTTTACAGACGTTTGTAGAAGAAATATCTCCGCGTGTGTGCTTTAGCTATTACTAAAAACACATATCACGTCAGCTATTGAATAATGGTCTCTGTAACTCTTACACTGATAATTCATGTTTTACTGTGACTTATTTAACAAGAAGGAGGAAGTTGTTTTCATTGGCGGTATTGAACTTCATGAGAAGCTTTTTTTCACGATCTATTACCTTTTTACTGTTCTTCTCCTCATGATAAAATTTTTATTATGATTTTTCTATCTCTCACTTTTTCTCTTTATACAACATGTTTGATAGGTAAGATTAGTTCAAAAACAAGACAATGGCTATATTTATGCTATGAAGATTTTGCATAAAGCAGATATGCTACAAAAGGATCAAGTAAGCGCTTAATCTTAGTCTTGTCGTAATTAACCATAGTTAATATTATTCGGTATACATTGGAATAATGATTGTTAATTTTGTCTTGTTTAATTTCTAATTTTATTAATGTTGAATTCACTTCTTTAGATTATGACAGTATTTTCTCTTTTTATAAAACATATACCCTTATTTGTATTCTTGAAATAAATTACTGTTAAAAATTCTAATGGTTATATAGAACAGATAAATTTCTATAGCTAGTGGTAGAATCTAGGATAGGTGTTCCATTATTTGCACACACCTACATCATCCCAGTATTGATGTTCAAGTTGAGATGTGAACCCTAGTATATATCTCTTCAAACACCAGTTTGTTATTCATTGAGTCAGTGAGTCCAGCTAGCCATTAACGTTTTTGGTCAGAATGATGTTACTGATGTGTGTTCTATTCATCCTGGTATCGATACTCTTGATTTAAATATAATCAGTCCTTGTTAGGATATTTTCGTTCTGTGCAAATTGTCTCGATATAATCATAGAACAAAACGCTCGTTCTGTGTGTTACACTGCTGGCTACAATCCATTCATTACATACAATTTCATATAATTCTGTTTTCAAGGTTCCCAAAAATGCTTTTCTTTCAATACGAATATTTTAGGAATAAAGCAAATTACAAACTCATTAAGAAGTGCCAATCTTGATTATATAACTCATAAATAATAACAGTACGTATTTGGAGGTGTCACGTTCTCTGAACGAAATGAACTATAAATCTTCCATTGTTGTTCTGAAGATATATACTTTAGATACAGGTGAAAAGGAAATAGCCATGAAACGTTAAACGAATTTGTCAATTAGTCAGTCTTATGCAACCTAGAACCTGGCACACATTTGTATCGACATAGAAGATATGATTTGAGGAGCAACATTTTTGCGTTTACTTAAAGGTTAAAATCCCAAACACCTCTGTATTGTTGCTCATAGTGTTTAGAAGACTGCACTTTGTCATCATATTGATCAAGCAGGATTATGTCATCCATGTATTCTAAGTCAGCAGGTAAATATATACTTAAGGGAGATGAATTGATAAAAATTCAGATGATGAGAGGGCTTTCTCTAATAATATTTTTATGGAAAAGTTAAATAAATTTGGAGGAAGCTGTGACAACCATGACGAATACCACTGTGTTATTGATTCCAGTGACAGTTTGGTACCAGTCATATTGGATTACGTCTAGTCTTGAGACTAGTTAATATATTGTTATATGCCAGTGAAGATTAAATTACGGGTAACTTTCGAGGACTAATAATGGACAAATATTTTATAAATATTCTTATTGTATAACTATTCAGTCATTAGATTATGTATGCGTATATTCCTCTTATTATAAGCTTTATTTTGACCTATAATTTATCATTGTACGATTTACTGTTCTTAAGCTATGTTTAATTTATTGACTTACTTACTGCCTCCCACATTCACAGCCACTTTTTGGCTTTATTGTGTACAAATGTTATTTCCTATTTTATGGTGCGTCGCGGTCTGTCTCGTTGATATATAAACCCAGTATGTCTGAAATAAATGATTCGTTTCGATTCGCATCGTGGAAGCTGGCATTGGTGTTCTGGACTCAAGTGGACGAGCCAGGCGGACGTCGGACCAATAAGGACGCTAGGCTGCTCATACCGGTCGAACGTCATTGGTTTGGCACAGTGCTGATATAGTATAAGTCGTATTTTGATTGGTGGATAGATCACGTGATAAAAAGCCGGACGTAAAGTCATAACAATCTCAGTCAATCTAGCTGCTAAAACTAGACCATCATTCCTAAAGATCTCCGATGTCAGTCCATTAGAACTTGTTTGCCTCCCTCGGTTTGGATAAATGATAGCTTTTCCAACTCTATAAGAATAGAGGGACCTTATTTTAACACCCTATTCTCGTTGTTTGCTAGCAGTAGGTAGCTTGAACACCAAAATGTATCGCATTCGGTTGATAAGTTTGGCTGTGGGGGGATAACTAATCAGTAATTAACAATAAATGCTCTGCTTTGTTATAATATTAATTGACCGACCGTTGTTCCGTGCTTATTGTATAAATTTTAAATGGATTAAACTTTATTAACTCTGATTTTCCGACTGAACAGTTTACGAAATAGTTACAAACTGCAATTTCTTCATAAATCTTTGTCAGAATATATATATGTACTACTGACCATTGTCATGTAGTCCATCGAAGCGTAATGTGTTTGTATAGATTTATTAGCTTCTATATCATTCGTTCTGAAATGTTGTTATTCTACATTTGTACTCGTAATACATTTTTGTTTTGCCTATAGAGTTACAAAAAAACTGATTTTACTTACACAGAAAAAACACAACTTATTATTGTTACTATGTTTTTCATTACAATACATGTTTTCTTTTTGTTTTCCCATTGTAACTGTTCATGAATATTTGTGTAATTGTAGTTCTATGCATAAATTACTCACTGAAACACAAAAGAGCTATACATCACAACTATAAAAATGTAATACACATCAATACAATAGTTAAATTGACCATTAATCTTAGTTACAAGTACACACATATGAAGGACATAGATACACTCACCGTTTGTATTGATTTTGTTTTCAGCTACGTTTAAACTATCACGCTTGTAATACTGAGATTGATGTTAATATTATTAGTAGTAGTAATAGTAGTGGTCGTATTGTTATTAATACGGGTTTCTACGCTTATTGATCCCGCGTTTTTCATTTGCGTGTCATCATTATAATTATCAACATGTGTGCAAACGTCATTTGTTGAGTTTTTTTTCGCTTGAATTCCTCTCGTTATTTTAGTAATAATGAGATAACATTGTTGTGTCGTTTACTTGAATTACTGTCATTTTTGAAACAAAAATGTGGTTAAGACTGGTTATCGATATTAAGTTTTACGTCGCTCACCCTCTATCTATTTGTTTATTGTAGATGTAAACAACTAGGATCTAGTCTAAGAATAATGAATTCGCTACAATATCTGGAAGTCTTCGGTTCTTACCGAGTCTGAATTCAAATTACTTATAAATTATGTTTATGGTTCAAACAGCGTTCCACATCTCTCTACTTTCTAACAGTTTTCCGAATGATTAAAGTCCATAAGCTGGAGCATCTAACAAAACCAATCTGCTAATGAATCACCATATACTTGTGGACTAGTGTTGTTGATAAAATAGTAGTAAATAATTTTCTTTCAGAGTTGATTTCTATCAATCTGATTATGAATTTCCATCGCTAATTAGGGTAAATTATCGGTATGGGTGGTTTCAGAGAGAAATTATAATTAAATTCATAGTTTTAGATCATGAGCTAACTTGAGTTAAAGATAATCACTCGAATTAAAGAAACATTGTACATCTGTTTTTTCCTAGTATCAGACTCCTCAGTAGTGCTCATCCACAATCCCACCAGCTCTGAAATAAATTGTTTAATATTTCTAAAGAAAATTGTCAATGAATTACTTTTAAAAAATATCAAATCTGTGTAACGCAAAACGAAGATGACACAATTAAGCTTAGATTTCTATCTTCAATTGTTGTTTTAGTCGAGTGTAACGTAATGAATGTCAACCTTTTTAAAACCTGAAAATATATTTTAATGTTTTCGAATACTTCATTTATTTTCTAATCATTAGGTGGCTCATGTAAGAGCTGAACGTGATATTCTAGTCAAAGCTGATAATCCTTGGGTTGTGAAAATGTTTTATTCATTTCAAGATTCGGTCAATCTGTATTTAGTTATGGAATTCCTTCCAGGTGGTAAGTTCATTTAGTGTTTTCTTGATTTAATTTATATCATTAAAACTTACATACAAGATCGTCAGTTCTCACTGAGACCACCACACCTTTCAACCATTTTGTTCGAAATCTTAGTAATCTAAATTCCTAACTTCAATTAGTTTGTGACATTATGATTTTCATCTAACGTCAACAGTATGATGCAGTCTCTGTCCTTCTTTATTCTAGTTTATTGCTTTTCATACCTTTTTCTGGGAATTATAGAAAGAATTATTTGTGAATATTACTGAAGAGCTAATCTATACTTCATTTCATACTTCTATAATGCCTATTGATATATTATAATGCAATTCTTTCAATAAAATATAACAAAACAGAGTGGGAAACAATAGAATATTTTATGGAAAATAAATTAAATAATCATTATTATAACGATATTGTTACTATGGTAGTAATATTTTGTTTGTTTGTTTGCCTACATTAAGCGAATGAGATATGGAAAAAAGTAGAGAGAGAGAGAGCACGATACGATGACAGTTATCAGATGTATTGGGATTGTTTTCTCTCTCATGATGATGTAGACTGGTGTGGATTTATTATAACAATAAAATTTCTATCTGGTCACTTTTCATTACCTTATGAACAATAAATATAGGTGGGGTTTTATAATTTAACAAAATATAATGTACTTGATAATACTATTCATAACAACTATCAATTGGTTGATATCTAAGTCAAAGATTTCAGAATTTTGATTATCTTAAATCGTAAAATTGAAAATCAATTCATTTTCTGAATTTTACAAAAAACGCTTGTACTTAGTCTTCCTGTGTACTATCATTGATTGAATTAATGAACATTTTGTTTTATAATAGTCAACTTCCTTGAATGATGACTTCTGGATAGTGCACTTCTGTTGATTTCTATTGACTGTCATCAGGTTTTTTATTCACCATAACGTGATATAAATGCGTTTGTTCGTGGTAGATATTTCGTACAAAATAGTTACAAAAAGGAGTGACATATTCTTCTTTATTAAATGGTTAAACTATTCACAACAGTGATGTAGTGAGATATCCTATTTATTTATTTAAACATATAAAGATTGGTACAAGGAGGCATCAAATACTTATGTGCCACATTTCGTTATTCTATTTATGTGGGGGCTGAAATACTACGCGGGCTCCCAAACCGAAACAGGTGGTTTTGTAGTGGCTGTGCTTCGTTAACCAATCACCCTCGTAACCGTTACCACATAATCTTCAATGGTATTTGAAATCAAAAAGTAAAGAGAAGCAGTGACTACAGTTTTATTAGCAGATACTCAGACCACAGAGCAGTGAGGCGAATGAGTGAGTCAGCGAACCGAGAGTGTAGGGAGTGTTAAACTTACATGTATATATATAGGGAAATGAATGAATCATCGAATCAATTAAGGAATTAATTATAAAGCTAGCAGAATGAATATATGCGTAGTCGGTAAGCAATGTTCAAGTATACATATTTTGTACAAGCACAACAATAATAAAGGTACAATAAGTTGTTATAGTACGGATGCTTTGTTCGCTAAATAAGTTAACAAAAGGGCTTAACTAAGTTAAGTGAGAACAAACTCAATTGCACGTGAGTTGCTATAGTTTTCTTAGAAGATCACTCCTCGAGCCTTTGATCTAGAAGTCTAATCCTGCTAGGGTTGAAGCTTTCACGAGTTCACTTAATCTGCAAACGAGAAACAAGACTCGGTGACCAAAGACCAGTAAACCAGCTATTGGTGCGTCCCAGCCCCGCTAACTAGAGAAAGAAGTCCAAGTTTGGAATGGGGAAGCATATTCTGCAAACAGCCAGAAATGAGCGACAACAACAAACACTATTCAGAACGTATATATACAGCATAAAACCGTCGTAGGTGAGAGTTACCAAATAGCATACTAAAAGATGCAACGAACCAATAGCATTTAAGATATTTCCCAGTGAGAAATACGACATGAAGGTGACAAGAGCGCCTTTGGCGCGAAAACAAGGAAACTCAAATTTTCTAAATAAAATTACAAAATTAGGGCTTTCCCAAGTGAGTTCTGGGGATCTAGCGTCCCCAACAAATTCACAAGTTAGTGAAGCAACATCAGGCGATGCAGTCTCATGGTAGGCGGTGACCAACAATATGTTCATACGCCTTTTGTTCCCTCTGGTTCTTGGAGCACATATGCACCATTGGTTTAGAATCAGAGTTTTCCAACTCCCCTAGATGGGTCATCCATATCCATCAACCCGGTTAAAGTACTAAACATTGGTTTTCTATAAACGTGAACAACAGTAATGTTGCGAGAAGGCAGTGAGTAGGACTTCCCTGTTAGTGGTTGTATAGTCGTGGCCATGTGAGAGCATTTCGAGGGGGAGAGTGGAATCTTCACATCCTCGATCGTACCAAGGCCATATACTAATATCTGTACACAATATATGTAATATTTATGATATAATCAAGACTGTTAATGTGAATCGTTCAATATATATACTTTTATACTTCGCTACACTACAATAAACAGACTTGACAAACGAGTATAAAATGTAGCATCAAACTGTTTTCCAATATCAGTTGTTAAATATATAATCAAAGTAGTTCATATGTTGTAGCGAGCACTTAACCTTTTGTCTACTTAGACAAAATCTAACGGTTTACATTGTTTAATTTCAATCAATTCGTGATATTGCACAATTATCTTCCATTTTCAATGATGAGTAATTTCCCTACATCCCCGATATAATTGTACACTAATAGTTACTATTTCTAACCAGACCTAAGAGGATCACCACTCTCAGTGGTTGTTTAACTAATATTAATTCTTGATGTGAATTATGACACTAACAAATCACCACGAATCCATCTGTAATCAATTTTTATTGTTGAATAATTTTGGTATTGTGATTATTTTCTATCACTTAATCTCAATAAACACCGTAAACTAAAGTATATCAACATTGTTTTGTTATTATTATTATTATCTAATATGTGATTTATGTTTTAATGCATGTTGGGCTTTTTTTGTTCTCTCGTTGTTGCTGTTTTTGTCTAATCACTACTTCTAATCAAATGTAAATCCATTGAAATGAGTTCTTTTTGTGATTCGCTTTCGTTTTTTTACCTTCCTCCTCTATTCAATATTATACATATATTAAGTGTTCATTTTCTGTATGTAGATTTTTCTAATCTGATCAGACTATATTTATAGTACAGAGTATTTACTAAATTTCTCAAAATTCTCACATAGACTACCATTATTCTTTTTTGATTTGGACCTTCATAATAAATATATTTTATCAGTGTAGATCATGCCTAAAATCTTAATAAACAATTATATAATTTTAAGTGTTATAATTTTATTTATTAATTTGTTTTTGATTAAAATCTTTGTTTACAATCATTACTTGTCTAGAATTACTATGAAATCAGTGGAATAATATGATAATTTCTATGACAAAATCTATTATTGATATACAGTTTTGTGATTGAAAACTGTAAATGAATTGAAAGCGTAAACTATTCAAATAACTTAGTTTATTTGACTTCATTTAACTGATTCAAACAGTGATAGATGAGTATCATTACAATAAAATACAGTACATAATAATATTTCCTACTTATATGTCAGTCTTATAACCGATAAAAGAGCATATCAATATTTGATTGATATAAATTTAATCTGATCGTTAAGATGGTGTTTACCCATCGTATGTCAGATAATTCAATAAGAGGAATAAAGAACACAACATAATATTATCACCTAAAATTTAGGAAAAAATAAATAGTTTCTATGCTATTGTCTATTGTCTAACTTCGATTATTCCCACGAATCTTGACCATATTGAGATAAACGGTCATTTGATTTCATGGGCTGATATCACGTTATGGTATTGTCTTCTATCTTTATTTTATCAATGTACTCGTATGTTATCTAGCTTGGCTTTTCACTGTAGACCGTTGTTACGCTATATGTGGATAACAAATTTCCCAACTATATAAGCAGATTGATGCTTTCTATCTCACAAACCGATTTGGTGTATATGCTTAGAAATTTGCTTCTAGATGCTTAAAAATATAAAAGAGGAACGTCTTCGGAATATCAGTGATCGTATGATAACAGTCTAAAAATGTCCTTGACCTTGAAAAGTTAAGCTTCACAAGCACCCTTATATACGTACGTCTAAGTGTAAGTGATAAGTACTAATGTTTAATCTTTCTTCTACTCCTCTTGAATCCTACCTTTCGAATCGTTTTGTAATCGACTAACATCTTGTAGGTCATGATCCATTTAATTGATTATACGCATACATACACAAATTTAGTCATCAGTTTGTATTTCTAAACTAGTATACTTGATTTTAATGGATAAATTTCAGGTTACTTCAATTCAGGCAGAATGATCCATCAACTTTATATTATACTAAGTGTGTATGCATATTTGTTTGCCCCTGTGACCTGTGTTGTTAATTTTTTTGTTTCTAATACCGTCTTTTATGATTATCCTACTATATCATCAATACTCTGTTTAAACTAAACGAAACCAAAAGTTTAGAACAAATAGTTCCTGCCTAATAATAGAATCTAGAATGTGCGTTTTGTCTTGTTTGAGACTCGCTATCTGGATATACCAGTATGCTTGTTCACAGTCAGGTGATAAATTCTAAAAAGGACGAAATGAGCGTCCTGAATTTCATTGCTAACCACGATTTATCTATTCTAAATAGACAAATACTGATTCACGTGATAATCCATTATCGTTGTCGATAACATAGTTTATCAAAGGTATCGATTTTTTTTTCGATTCTTAAAGTAGAACAAATAAAATTACAAAGATTTTTTTTAGATTTTCAATTACTTCAACTGCAGTTGATCGTTTTCATATCAGTCAGTCGGTGTTCATTCTATCGTTTTTGTCTTAGTTTTACTGTTTATTTATTTATTTTTTTAAATACAGTAGAAAACCAAGTTCATTTCAACCCCTGTCTAAGTAATAATAATAATAATAATAATAATAATAATAATAATAATAATAATAATACAATTGGATATATGTTAACACATGGTTGAAAATGAATTCTCAGTCTCGCTTCATCAGTTTTAAAATGACAAAGGAGAATCTGTCAATGTTTAAACGAATAGTTTGACAGAAATCGGTTGCCGAGTATATAGAAGACAATATTTGCGAAAATTATTTTTAAAATAATCTGAATGATTAACGTTTCGTTCAGTAAACGTTGGAATTATTTAAATTTTAATCTCTGAGATAATTTCAAATATAATTTTTACAAATAATATTAAAATATGTAGTTTGTCAGCGATGAATTATGAATCGTTAATTGTGACTAAGTCTTGTTATATATTTTCGAATTATTCATGATGAGTGTAGCGTAAGTAGTTGTTATGATCGTGAACGCTAGTCCAGGAATTAAAACACTGTAAATTACAGGTTCCTGGCTCACTTCAGTCGTTTTAGTTCACGTAGCCAAGACTCATCCAGTACTATCATTTCTTTACTAAGATTAAGTTAAAAATACCCACTGATAGTGTCTAAAATGTATCCAACATCTTTCGATCAATATTCATCTTCAAATCTTTTTCAAAAAGAAATTCGTGTTTATACTGAATAATGCTAAAACACAGATGATTATAAACTCCTCCTAGCTCTGTGGTTTATAAATAAATTAAACTAGTAGGAACAATGTTTAATTTCACTGTAACGTCTTTTTTTCACAATATTATTCATAACTTTGATAACAAAAATTTGTTTATCTTATCTGGTTCATTTCTATCTATTTTGATGTTGTGATTTTTCCTTTTTCGTGTTCTCATGTTCTAGGTGATATGATGACACTGTTGATGAAACGAGATACGTTGACAGAATCTCAAACACAATTTTATATAGCAGAAACCGTTCTAGCAATAGATTCAATACATAAAATGGGTTTTATTCATCGTGATATTAAACCTGACAATTTATTACTGGATGCAAAGGTAGGTGTGCTGTTGTGTTCATGTATGTATATAGCTAATCTTGATTTTGGAATATTGTGTTATTTTTTCTATAATTTCATATGATACCGTTCGTCATAATTTAATAAGCGAATAAATTACAGTTCAAGTATACTATCTCGTTGGCTCTAAGCAGTTGTAATGACGATAGATGTATTCGTGTGTAGAACAATTGTAGGTTAACAACAACTTGATCGATGGGATTGATTCTGTATTAAGGTATATACATCATATTGACCAGTCTTATTAGAAGTCAGTCGCAGTCAAAATACATCTGTGCATATAACATGAGTTGGCGTAGATTTTAATGCCTCAGAGAAGGTCAATTTTTTGAGATGTCAAATATTTCTCAATGACAGGTGCTAACTACCTCCAAACTTGGTTCCGAAACTTCTTTACAATAGCCTCCAACCGCCTAGTTTCAGTGTAGAGCACAGTATGAATTGCATAATTTAGAATCGTCTCAAATGCAGAAAATCGATAAAAATGGAAGGAATAAAAAAGAAATATACTAGTCTAAAAGCGAAACTCTCCTAAAGATAATACACTGTTCAGACCCTTATGAAAGCCAGTAAGTAAATGAACTTGATGTTGGTAGGTTTTCTTAACTGGGGGATTTAATTACAAAACTTAAACTGTTATTTTGGATAACACCATCAGGTGTCTCATCAAGCAGAGGAGAATTTTCGCGGAATGCATCCATTCTGATTGCCGTGTTAGAAATTTATTCACATTGGATTGCTGTTCTTAGATGACCTTTGATCACGTGATTTGTTGACCTGGGTTTCATCAATAAGTGGTTTGAATCTGTCGCAACATGTCTATATGCGGCACAGTGACTTCATTGTCTGACTTTTTCAAACTCATTAATGATTTTACGGTATCTTCGATATATACAATTTTGACCCTTTATCGTTCAAACCTATATTCGTTATTGTCTAGACTCATTGATGTCGTTTAATTATAGTTCCATGTTCGTTAATACTTAAATGAAGAATACTCTCACTTTCTTCAGTATAATATCTGTTTCAATAGGAGCAGGTTGTCATATAACTGATTGTTATTCACTGTTTACTTTTTTCCAATGTATAAATCAAAGTTATTTTGTTACTTTATTGAGCAATGCTAATTTCCAAGGATTTCAAAATTTTATTTATTTCTTAAAAGATAAATATCTTTCGGTTCTTAATAACGGTTTTACGGTGGTAGGTTATCTTCAGAGACATCTTTTAGAAACTTTATATATATATATATATATATATATATATATATATATATATAGCTATTCTTTGGAATAATAAAAATATGGTGATTGTCTCCAAGTTTTGTGAAGTGAGAATGCTTTAGGGTAGGTTTAGCTCTTATTGTACGTACTCATTCTCATTTGCTTTTTATTGCTCTATCATTGTTGTCTTCAAACAAAAAAATCGACTTTCTTGATAAAAATTTTCTTTATCAAAGCCTACCATGATGGGTCCTTTGTTAACTGACGCTGTGATGATTTAATCCTTATTCTCTAATCCTGTTGAGGTCTTTTGTATCATAATCAGTTGTCGTTTATATACTGTGTCGATTAGAAGGCCTAAACATTTATTTTCATCAGCCTCTAGAATTCCTTATAGAAAATTTCACCTAAATTCACAACATAAATAGACAGTTTTTAACTTCATCATTTAGTGTCATGGAATCAATTCGTCAATCCTTGATATTGTTTTACCATAATCCTACTTCAACCAATATCATACAATAGAGTAGACTGTAGTTTGGAGATGTGTAACTGTTGACTACACTACTTCAGCTGTTGCTTATAAATCAGTTTTTCGAATTAATCGACTGATCAAGTAATATTATTAAAGTCATTACTAGAATTAATGTTGTATTTCGGTATAAATTATTTGATATTTTTGATTTAAATTCGAATGATTTGTTGTGTTAATTTAATTTGTTAGTGTACATACTACTAATAAAATGATTATGTTAATGCATATATCTATTATTCTTTTTCTAAGAAAACAAAAAAACATATCCTAATTTCAGTTCAGCTTTTAGTAGAAAACAAGAAAGAAAGCCTTTTCTCTTTGTTCTTCTATTTCTTTACGTATTTTTCATCTTACTCTCTTTTCGTTAAACAATGCTTTGTTCAAATATGCGCCATACACAAAGCTAGTGTTTATAAACAGATGTTTTTCTCTCACTTCTTATTTATTCTTTTGTTTAAATCGTCTCTGAGTTTTCTAAATAACATTTCCATAACTTAGATCACAAACTGATCTCAGCTATACTACTATCAAAAACTTGGAAGTGCTGGACAGGCATTTAGTCTTAATCTGAGACTCCACAGAACTGCGCTCCCACGAACTTGTGTCCGAGAATGGAACCAAGAAACTTCGGTCTCGTACGCAAACCCCTAACCTCTAGACTACTAAGCCGGGATCTATTAATGTACATTTCAATGCACAATACTGCGCAATCCTCATCAATTGCTGGAGCTCTACTGGTCACTACTTCTCACTCGAACTCAGAGCTAGTTTCTGATGACCACATGATTATTATTAGTACAAAGAGAATTGAGGAGACGTACGTATTGATCTTATGCAAATCACCATTGACACCTGATTCCATTCCTGGATGCAATTTCGTGAATCTTCACTGTTTAGTAGTCCCATGCTACGATTAAACGGCTGTATAGTTCTTTCATGTCATTAATAGTTGTCTAGTTAATATCAATTCATGACTGAAACTACTTTAAAATTCTACAATCTCTACTAATTGCCTCTAGATTAAAACACCACTTATTTAGCATTCTATTAATGTCATAATGATTTTCCTTTTTTTCCTCTCACAATTCAATCATCTAACTCATCGTTCATGCGTTTGCATTTATCAACATAACGTAATCACAACTACAACTATATCATATTCTCTGGAATGGTCCATAGGGTCATATTAAATTGAGTGATTTTGGCTTATGTACAGGTTTGAAAAAAGCTCATCGAACAGATTTCTACAAAGATTTATCTCAAGCTAAACCAAGTGATTTTTGTAAGTATATGTATGTGTTGTTGTTTCGTTTTTTGCTTCTATCAATAATAATTTCACCATAAATTGTTCTTTTTATTGTTATTGCTTTTATAATTATGGTTACCATAAATATCGGTTTTCCGACGAAATTGAGATGAATCAGATACATTTAAGCGCTTTCTTTTAAAAATACTATGTCAAGCGAGCCTTACATATGTACACAACAAAATAATTTTCATCTGTATATTGACATGCGTTATTTATTAATAAAAGTAGAATTTACTCCATCACTATTGTTGAAAGTATCACTTTGTTAATGATAAGAATCAAAATATGAACAGTTATTTATTACACAAGCTGGTGGCTACTTGCACTCAGAAGTTACGTGAATTAAGCTATGACGTTTTAAGCAGCCGATACTTGGTTTGAGTCCTGGAGTGAACATCACCTCAGGGATATAGATAAATCTAGTTGACGAATCTTAAATAGGTCGAAATACACGCCCTAGATCCCAATGCTAACCACCATCCATATCTGTTTATAGTTTTATTTATTATTAGTGTGCTGTAATCATAAATTATTTTGTCCATTTTATTGCATAATATAATGATACCATAGAATAGTATTATTTTAATTTATTTCCTAATTTCAACTTGATGAAATGTACAGCACTAAGTTGACCTCCAAATGCAAACATTTTTTTATGAAATTCATTTCAGTCACTGAAATTGTATGCCTTACTAATGGTTAAAAAAGTCCAGTTAATGTTATATGTTTAAAATATTCAGACTAAGATTCGAATCAGGTAATATCATAAATCACTTCAAACTCCTCCAGAGCACGTTATTCACATATAAATAACAAGTAATAGCAAGGCACATATTCAATAAACTAATCAACACTGACCCGACCGTTGTTGCTACCTTGACGTGGTGGTCAGGCTTGCCTATCATGATGAAGCAACCGAGCTATACTGACTGGAACAACCGTTCCCCAAGGTCCTACCATGTCAGACAGGTCGGTTGAAGAGCAGTAAGACTAAAAGCAACAAACCCAAGGTTCGAAGGCGAAGTCGTACTGCTGACTGTACAGAGGTGTGGTAGCAGTAAGGTGTTTCCTTCAGACAACCAGCATGACAGCGATGCTGCCTTTCCACAAGGAGGGGTGGGGTTAGAAATGGTCGACCTTAAAAATGCACACCTCGCCTTATCCCACGGATATCCGTCTCCGGCGGTAAGGTCTCAACAAGTACGGAGTCAACACAAAAATTACCCATAAAAAGGTCGTGTGTGACCGACCTCAAGCAGTTGTCTCTTGGGCACCGCGGTCATGCTCCCAGGTCACCAAAACCACCTCTAATCCAATTCCCTTTCCAAGGAAGTCCTCCTTCAGAACAATCAACACCGAATAATTCAAAGTCGGAAAATACATATACACATATATTTATTCATCAGTTCATATAATTAATAGTTTAATTATTATCATTTTATAATATCTATACTTCAATAATAAATTTTTAATTGTTACCCACATATTTTGAGCATATATACAGTAACGATTATATTGGATAGTATAAAAGCATTTATTTGTTTTTTTTTCACTATCCTTTCTCACCTTGATATATTTCCATGTACGGGTGCGTGTGTCATTAAGATAAATTATTGGTTTGTATATAGTTTATTCAATGGAATCCTTATCATAATTCAGTACTTAAGTATGATATATATATTATCTAAATCTGTTGTTTTCTAGGTTGGTCCACTGATAAATGTGATATTATACTCTGTTATTATAATCTACTTCTACGGTTTATGTAGGGAAGAGCAAAAAATATAATTGTTATTATTACTTCAAACCATATTAACTGTACTCTAAATCCGTTTCGTTCTTATTCTGAACCTTTCATTTAGGATGAATTAGGTTCTTTTATGATAAGTGACTAATTTAAAGTATTCGATGGTTGTAGTACTCTGAATAAATTATATATATATATATATATATATATATATATATATATATATATATATACTCGATATGCGAGTGACATAATCGAATAGATGAATAAATATTAGTTCTGCGCGCGTGGATGTTAATTTAAACAGAAGCTGTTATTTCTTTATTCGTTTCTCTTTATTTTATGAATGTTATATATGTGTGTGTCCATAAACGAGCTTCGTTAAATTGGTAGACTTTTTTTCAAAATATAATCCAATTAATGAAGTGGCTTTATGGTAATCAGTTTAATTTGTAGGCGGTGTTCGTTGTAAATTTACCTCAATTCGTGTATCATTAGCAGCCTAGGAGAATTATAAAGACTGTTGTGTCTTAGTATTTGAGACTCAACAAAGCTCATGCAAGATCTCATTGATGATTCGGCCTATGAACATCAGATCCCGCTGCTAACTTTATACAATTAGACCATTGAGATGATACTTAACTTCAATGAATCCGTACAGTTGTTGAATATAATGTAACATTGGCCGATTTGTTGATGAATCATGTCATTAATTATAATAATATGAAGTATCAAAGATTAAATAATTCAATGGGTAAAACTATATTGTATCATAATATAGAGAAAAAGTCAGATCTAAATTAAACGGAAGGTTTTTAACGTGTTTTAATCCACGTTGTATTGACGGGGTAAATCGATGAAGACTGACCGCTTTCAAAGTTAATCATGTTATTATCTAACACATTCTATGGTGAAAATATTTCATGAGAAATTTAGATAGTATCATGTAATCATCGACTACTAACTGTATTTTGGTAATTTACTAACTAATATGTATCTGAGTAACCTGAAATTTATATGGAATTGTTTTGAAAAATCTACAGTATAATCAGCGGTTGACTAGCGACAAAAATATTGATCACTAGTAATAATGAACTAAATTCCTTAAAAAGTCTAGAAAATTTCTATTTGTATGTTGCATGAAAATCTTGAACATGATACTGTGATAAATTATTTAATCTTCAGTTATCAAATAATCACACTATCGATTCAGTTATTTTTCTTATTGATCAGACTAAAATTAATTATCAGTTTGGGGTTGTGGAGATCATTGAACTTTTTACTGGCAAGTGTCATTTGCTCACTGGTCACAACTCGTGACCAGTGGAATTAAACCGTGTTAGGTACGAGGCAGTTATCTACCAAAGACAATAAAAGATAGTCGCACAATATCGTGGATTGATAGAAGTTAAAAATCTTACAACGTTGGATTTCGGCTCAGTGGTTTAGAGGTCACATGTTTGTACGCGATGCCTGAAAGCTTTGGGTCCGATTCCTGCTTGTAGGCTAGTGAATACGCAATGCTGAGGAGTCCCATATTTAAATAGAACGGCTGTCTTGCGCTTCCATCTCTCAATGGCGGTCTTACTTAGATCAGTTTCTGATTTCAATAAAATAATTATCTAATATAACCTATTTTTTAATGTTTATTTTCAATGAATACTTAGCTCAGTACTATTTCATTTGGAGTTATTTTCATGTTCATTCTTGTTTTCTTATAAATACCGATCTATTTATGATCAGCATCAACTGATTTGTAATTGACCGGAAAATGTTTTTATGTTCGCACGAACCTAACGCTTTTAGATCTTATAATGCAGCATACACTGCCTAAAACCATGGAGTTTTTAAATCGAATGATTCACTTCAATTCCGATCGATTTTCGCGGTAGACAATAAATATATCGTTTAAAAAATAAATAAATAAACTATGATTGAACTTGTTTAAATCTTTTACTTACATCTCTCTTTTTAATAACTGCCAGTTGGAATTAATTCTGAACAAACAGAAAAAGCTTTTATATGTAATTGTATTATTCCTCATTTCTACTGGTTACTTTTCTTCATTTAATCTGAAGTCATGCTGGGTTCATTTTATAAATAAATATTTGATAAATACGCATATCAATATTGTTATATGGTTGCACTTGTTAGTATTTACAGCATTTCAATACTTATCATAAGTTTACTTAGTTCACTGGGTTGTAAAAATATGTTCAACCTGAAGGAACTGTTTTTTGCTGTAAGGACTGATATGAAATGATAAAAAGTCAGTGAAAGCTAAGAAGCACCGAGTAGTTGTTTTCTTGATAATCCCTTGGAACTCCATCACAAGTGTACAATGGTACAATGGTTGGGGACCGCGAGATGATAGCAACCGATGGTTAGAGACCCTGAATGACATGGCTCAAAATCGTTTGCAATGGCGCAAGTACATACACTCTTTGTGTTCTCTCAAATTTTGATCTCCTTATTCCTCCTTGTCTCTCTTTTTTTCTCTTCCCAAATTTATTTCACTGTATTAAACTCCTTAAATAAAATCTCCAAACACTAATTTTCCTGATTACTGCTTATACTCTTATTACCCTCTACTACTACGGGATTTCAATCGACCACTGCATCTCTGTGCTAATGTGGTGTGGCAACTAGAACTGATGTACGTACGTACGAAGTTCTACGTTGTTACTGACTGACTAACTTTCCGCCTTGTCTGGTGTTTTTCCTTTCGGTTATGGTCGATAATGTTACATTTATGTTTCAGGTTACTTTGTAGCGGTTTAGTTTTACTTCATTTTAATATTATTATTATTATTGATTTTTAAAGCATTGTTTCCGCTCAGAGGTCTTTAATGTTGAAACATTTGCTGATCGCCTCTATCAGGGGTGATCCAGTTGCATCACTTTTGTATGTTCATATAAATCGTTAGTTTCATCCTCCTCTTTGGTGTTCATCCTGTTGTGCTAATGAGGTGTGTCAACTTAGACCGATGCACAATTGTGCTTGGTCCTACTTTGTAGCTGACTGACTTACTCCGCCTATTTCGAATTACATTTCATGGTTATGGATATTGACTACATACTAAGATTATTGTTATTTAAATTATTTCGCTCTAATTTATTCTCTTTTGAGGCAGGTTGTTCTCCATTTATAATTGACTGATTGCCTTGTTTCGGAATGCATTTACTAAACTTAGTTTGTAACAATGAATCTGTTTTGTAAACATCGTTTTTATTATGAGAACATAGAATGAAACTTAAAAATAATATATAATGCATTTATAAAACATATTTTCAATAGTCTGGTCACATTTATGTACATGTCAAGGCATTTCTAATATGAAAATTAATGAAGGTCAACTGTATAAAAGTTCAAATAATTACATAATGATATTTGAAATATATAAAAGAAAGAAATTTCATTTTCATAATCCGTATATTAATAAATTATTAAGAAATACATAAAAATAAAGACGCTACTAATATTTTGATTTCTTTCTGAAGGAAAAGTACGAATGATTTGACAATCTCCGTAGTTGGCTTAAATAATTCGTAGCATCAGTCTTTAAAATCATTGATTGTTGGTCTCAGTAATATAGAGTTAAGTACAGAATACGTGATTGATGTTTGCACTATTATCGCATTCAGCATAGCTAGAGATTTCAGATAACATGGCTTAGAATCACTACTAATGAAACAGATGACTTCACTCTTCCGTTAGATGCTCAGTATCTAAATTATCTTTAAAAAATTTTTATGCATTTAGTTTATGATTTCTCAAATCATTTTTTACGCTTGATCTTTCCTACCATCATCAACACTATTGTGATAAACGAACACTCAGATGGGGGAAGACCAACGTATTGTTTAATGCACAATTACACAGTGCTTTAGCAAAATGTGAAAATCATCACATATCTTCTTTGAATTGTCTCTTACAACCTTCATTGTTCCTTCTCTCTTTTCATTTTAATCTTCTCAGCCTTCTGCTCGTAAACATTTCACTTCCAACTTGTTTTACATACTACTTATATCTTCAGTCATAAGTAACATGCACCACACTATGATTTAATATTATGGTTTCGATTGTACTAAAAATAATCTTCATTGTTTCCTTTGTACTATTTAAACTTGCAATTATCTTATTTCTGTAATTTGTTTGCTCTGAAAGAGTGGCTTTCATTAAGTCACCAAACGTCAGAAATACAATTTTCTACTCATTGGGATATAAGAAAAGATATATTTTCACTACTATCATTATTACTGTTACTTTTTATAATACTTCGACATTTCACTGTACTGATGCTGTGTAGTAACTGTAATTCGTTGCACATATGTGCCACTTTTACATTGTGCATAACTGATTGAAGAAGTGAATCAAATGAATAGCTGTTTTGTATATATTCTAAATGTTACGATTAGAATGAGTCTACTATGTATATAAATTAGAATGTGACTGTTAGTTTTTTAAGTAATCATCCTAATACATCTACACAATAAATACTTGATTGATAAAATATCTGATAATATTTAATGTTTTCTCTAATTTCCACTTCCCAAGATTAATGTCGTAAAAATTTCACCAGCATTCACATGACACAATCAAAATATACTGAAAAATTCCAAAGTTTTTTTTCTAAATATTCAGCAATGTGATTTACTCCTGTCGAATTTACACTGTAAAATATAAATAGTATATTTCAGTCCTATTTAAAGGTTTTGTTTAAAATTCATTAATCATTTTGAAAAAAAATAGTATAACACAGTTAATAATAAAATAATTTATTTAAGTAATTAATTGGAATCTTATGCATTCAGTATTGATGCTTTACTTATTATTAACATAGAAATCGATGAGACTACCTTTGAGCGACGCTAGACTGATCATGTGAGTGCCTACCTGATAAGTAGGACCAAATGAAGATTATAAAGTTGTGTGAGGAATTCGAATTATGATTTACAGTTGATGGTTAAGGTTAGAAATTAGATTTAGTGTTTTCATCACAAACTGACATCAGCTATAATACCAAGGCTCTATTTAACCAAATGAGTGAGTGAATTTCGTGGCGAAATCTTATACCTGATTGGTTCGTCTATAAATTATAGTCTCGCTTAAAAATCCAGCGGTTTTGTAATATACTCAAAATAAATACGATTCCTTTGAATTCGAATGTTCAGTGATGAAATTGTTGATTATATAACTTACTTTATATGTCAATTAAAATAATTCCATTAATATCAGTTCTTCTTACTCATTCTAATCGTTATTTAGAACTGAAATAATTCCTAATTATTGAACTAAATCTAACACATTTTCCTGACAATGAATAAGTAGCAATTTACAATTATTATTATAAAGATCGTACCGCTTCATTATTTTCACAGTTCAGTTGGCGAGTGGATCTATGCTAAACCTGTAAACATTGAACGGCGGTTTCGTTTCACTACGGGACTCCTCAGCAGTGCTCATCTACAGTCGCGCACGTGAGACTCGAACTCAGAATCTTTGGTTTTGAACGCGAACGCTTAACCTGTAGACCACTGTGCAGGCATCCAGCGGTATTAATATCTAACTTAAACTGATTCATGATGTTTCTCGACCCTTCATAACTTTCTCACACACGACACGGACTGAACTCCATTTGTCACGGCTTCTCACTAGAATTCCAATGAATTAATCCTGAAGCTAGTCACTAGTGAAAACATGATTATCACTATGCGGATTTGTGGAGATGACGATTACAAATTACTGTTTTATTTCCATAGATGATTCAACAAATATTAATTGCTAATGACATAATTAAATGTAGAAAGAAATTATTCTAATGAATAATTTATTTATCTTATCACATATACCATGATGTGCTAAAAATATTCCATGTAAATATCACCATTATGCTTTTATTTTTCATTTCGTTATTTTTTTTCAATTCATATTTTTATTGTAATAGCCTCTGGTCGTGCAGACTCCAGGAGAAGAGCTGAAGGTTGGAATAAAAAACGACGAAGATTAGTAAGTGTTTATTAAAGGTTTTTTTGTTAATTGCTCTATTTAATCAAACTTTTCATCCAATTCATCTAATGATTCCTTTATTCCATAAATTGAACAAGACTTTAGGTTATACTGTTAGATTTCAATGATTATGCAATAATTATACCATTCATATCCTCCATGTAATTGTTTAAAGTATTTCTTTTTATTTAAACTCACTCTTTTTCTCACCTATTTTCAAAGTTCTATATTGATTTCGTTTTTTTAGAATAATAAATCTTTAGCATTCTATGAGATTAAATGGTTTAAATTGTTCTGTTTTACTATAAGTTGTGCACTTGATAGACTCTTTACTCATTTTATTTAACCATTGATTTCGTATTCTTTTATTTGATTTCTAATATTCTAGTGTACAATAGTTCAGTGCAAATCTAAAGTTTAGATTAGAATGATTTGATTTTTTTGTTACGTAATGTTTACATTTTAAGAAAAACGTACTCAATTAATTGAATGGAATGAGTGAGTCGTAGATAGAGGGACTGCATTATTTGATTGTTACTCTTTCACACACAGTTGTGACATAATCTCATAAAGTGTTCATAAGTTGTTTTAACTTAAAATAAAGTAGTATACTGATTTAAGTAGTACTTATAGCAATCTGAAATAATAATAATAATGTAACTGACCCAGTACAAGTGTATTTACTGACCTTTGGATTAGATTTCCTTTTTGTTTAGAGATTAATTATACTATCCAGCAGATTAACCTGTCCATGGTACAGCTAGGTCCAAGTCTACAAACTTTGGTTTGTTGAAAACCATGTGATTTTAACACTAACTCATTATCTACAGTGGATAACAATCAATCTAATGTTTTAGGTGATGTTAACGTTTAGGGACAACCTTCTTGATTATCTGGGCTACCTGTTCCTGCCATCTACATATTTCACCAATTTATCTGTTTTTGTTTGTTTTAACACATTATTATGTCTATTAATCGCATAAATTATTCAAGCAGGTTTGTAAAAAGTTCACAACCATTCGCCGTACAAGCTACAAAAATGTACAACCGGAGACATCATGATGGGTGGCAATGTGCATTGATAAGAATGAATATTATTCAGATGTCGATCCGTGAACTGGTGACTACTCAATATCTATCATCAGGGTCGATCAAGAAATAAGAAACAAAAGCTTTTTAAAACACATTGCGCTGAGAATTCCATATTGTACCAAAAATATAATTTTTAATAAACCCATTAATAATAATAACAATAATAAACACAGATGATGTTGTCGTGTAGACTGACAGTGAATTCTCTAGAATTAATTCACACAAGATTGCATAATAAAGTGATTCGAGACTCCAATTATCAAATGGGGTTACGTAATAATCAGGAGGTTAGGGAAGAATATAAGGATGAAAATAATTTACGTATCAAAACTATGGATGATAATTGTTCACTTGACAAATATGAAGAAAAACGAAAAGCATAAAAGTCATAATAATAACTGAGTAATAATCACTAAGTATTGTTAAAAGATAATAACTGATTCTTGTTCAAAATTACAAAACGCTAATCCAAAAAACCCCGAAGATTAGGGCCAAATCATTAATTCAAACAATTTACACAACACAATATCGTCAAAAAAGGCAGTTGAGTGAGCTAAAAATTGTCTTCACCATTTCAAATACCACTGATTTTAAGAATTTTTTCGTCATAAATGAATAATGATTTTTAGTTTGAACTGAATCAAATATACTTTATGCGGTTATTATTTAGTTGATGCTATCTGTTTTTTTAAAATATTATTATCGATGTGAAAAACTAGGTCTACTTCTTTCCCCTTATCGCACATTCGCTTATTTATTCTTATATGATTACTTGCGAATAATTTATTTTCAGTTTGGGTATTTGTACAAATTGTAGTATTTTCACAGTTGAATTCATGAGTCGATCTAAACTAGACAACTATTAAAAACCTGGAAGCATTGGCAGTTACTGTACGAAGACAATGGAAGAGAGTTGGGCAAGATCATGGATTGATTGAAATTAGACATTAACATCATTTGATGATTACTCAGTGGTCTGTAGGTCCTGGGTCCGAGTTCAGTAAGTGGCATCCTGGACGCGCACTTTTGGTGGGTCCCATCCTAGGACGAAATAATCATCTAATGCTTCCAGGTTTTCAATGTTTATCTAGATTAGATCGACTCGTGATTTCAACTATGAAGATGGATTATTTGTAGACATATGTTTTACATTGTTTTCGTCTCTGGAAGGTTTCTTCATGTGTGATTTAACTGGTGGAATTTTCGACAACTATATTTTGTTCTAATATTACATAAATTCGTTTGTATATATTCATTCCTAGGGTTTTTTTAAAAAAAAAACACTAACCATAGTACGCATTATTTTCCGTCCAAGTACATTTGGATTGAACTACCTCATTACATCATAAATTGTAGTTTAACTGTAGCGAATGTAAACTATCACCGGCATTGGAAGATGGTTGCACTTTATCATGAACTAGTTGAATTTAGACATTGGATAATGTCATTGGTTGCCAGCTCAATGATCTCAAAGTTAGCCATCCTTAATGAAAAAAACTGAAGGCTACAGATTCGATTCCCAGTCTAGTTGTGGATGTTCCATTTTTATCTTTCCCTAATGAAATGAACAGTAGTGATGGGAGAAATCAATACAAAATTGTAAATAAATTTACGATAATGAAATTTGGATTTTTCCACAAATACAAACAGATAAATAAAAGTATTTGATATACTACCAAGTTAACTTTTAAAAATCATCCATTAAATTAATGATTTCTAAAAAATCTAAGTTTCTTAATGTTAAATTATCAAACTTTTAAAAAGCTTGACTTATACAACATTTAACATTGATGAGTTATTGAAATGAATAACAGTCAATTGTATTGAGAAAAATTTCTTATACAAAATTGTATTGCTCAATCATATAACTAATCTGAGGCATAGTGATTAATAGCAATTGAAATTCAATAAAATTAATACTTTAACCATTGATGTTAGTACCTTTTCAAATGTTTACTCATGACATTTAAATAGAACGCAGCATCAGCTGTTCAGAGTCAATACATGTATTTAAACATTATTTTATTTCCACTACATTACTGTCAATCTGAGAGAATTTTTCAATCAGGTTTTTTTCAACTCATTAACAAATGTTATTCACTTATTCACTACTGTTATTTATTCAGTAATATTTTCACTTTGGTATTTAATATCGTGTTGTTGTTTTTTTAGAGATCATTGGCGATTATTTTCTAATTAATTTTGACATATGATCTATTCTAGGTTATATTCAACGCTTAAAATACGCTTATTCTAATTGTTTTTACATGGCTAAATTGTCTTCTTTTTCAGTTGAATTACAAGGTGATACTTGACTAGTCAAATTTATTTCTTCCCATTACTGTTATTTATCAGTTTTTAATAGACACAATTTTGTGGTTTCGGATAGTTTTGTAGTTGTGAATGTATTGTTTGCTAATTACTTACTTATGCCTGTTACCCCTTATTGAACATCATTTGCCGCCCACCATTGTTTTTCAATAATGGACAGTTAAATAAAATGGTTTTTATTAAGACTAATGAAACTATATTATAATAAATCATATACTCTGTATGCGAAATTCTTTATCATCATCGTCTGAGAATCATGTAGTTGAATACTGATTTATTGTTTAGAGCCTTTGTTTTACTAAATGCTTGGTAGTAGGTTCGAACCTATCCATCAATAAACAGGAAAAAGTAGTCTTCATCATAGCTTGACATGAATACTAGATAGCTGTGATTACCTTGGCCAAGAATTCTTTCGGCACTGCTCATATTTCATTCTACAGATGTTTGAATTTCGGACTTTTGTGTGCTTACGTCTGAGTTGTTATTGTCCAGTATTTGGTGTTTCGTAAATTTCTATTTTGAATCATATTGTGTTGTTAATAATGAATAATATTAAATGTGCTATTGTTTATTGTTCAACTTCGTCTGTTGGTCTAATCTTCTTGCGTTGTTATATCACGCTTATCCACTAACTCATCTATATTTCATTCAATAAACCTGAATTTCGTTGAAAATACTGCGTTAGATTCTCACGATACAACAATCAATAAAAAGAAAATTCACTCAAATTTTCTTAAACGGAAACCTATCGAAACAAAGATTTAAATAAATGAATTCACTTAGGTCGTAAATAGCTTGAATGTAGCTTTTTCTGGGTGGCAAACATTTTGAATTCTCAATATATCTTTATTGTTTAATCTAAGTGTGCACTTTATTGATTGCTTAATAGTAATTTTGATAATTGTCACATGTTTTACGTGTGAAAATATAGAGTGGTCCGACTAATGATCACGCTATTTTAGGTCATATATATATACTTTAAAACGGCTTTTCATTTAATGATATAAATAAATTGCAAAATTCTTATTAATTGTACTTATTTACATGACATAGCTAAAGTTAAATGCAACCGACTGTATATGTAGTTTAACTTTGATTATTGTACATGTTATCAAAATCTGAATTATATATCTCACAAATTTGGTCAAAATTGAACATTTTGTATTTCTCTTGAAAGTTTGATCTAAGCATCAAGGGAATCTCTCGATTAGCTTTAAACATCATCATCATGTAGTACTGACAGAGAGTTTCAACTATTATCAATAGAGGTTATCAAGAATTCGTGAATATCTGTTTTCGGCAAGAATGCATGGATATATCTGCATGTTAACAAAAAGCTTAAATAATGAATAAAAGATTTTAAATAAAATTAATTTTTTAACAGTATAAATTATGTATGACAAAATAAATACTCACCAACGTTGATATGGAATCAAAATCTTTTTGAGATTTTTGCTTCTGAATTTTGATGATAAACTAAGATGATTTGTAAATGTAAATAAGAACGCAACACAAGCGATATTGAAAATATAAGTGAATATATTTTGTTGTGTTTGCTAATGGCTTTTTTTATCTAG